ACGAAACCGGATACCAAATGGTTGCTGGCATTACGAGCTAGCTTCGCCGTGTCCGATTGCGAAAAGTTGACGTAGCCTGGTTGTCAAAGCGTATCGCTTAAAAGGTCGTAGAGGCACGGAAAGACCCGCAGAGGAGGTATCCCTTTTGTTGTACAGCTGTCTTTACTCGGTTGTGCCCGTGCATGCAAATGTAACGCGAGCATATGCGCCCGCATGACACGCTCCCATAACATTATACACGGGTGTACCTATCTATGAAACCGTTTTCATGTGATTTACGTGGAAGATTAATAACGATAGTGATTAAATGTGGGCCGATTTCTTATTGTCCCCGGATAGTTAGCGAGTTTAAATCTAGGCAAGCGAAGCAAAATCGTAGCGTACGAGGATGTTTCAGTTTACAAGCTTTATGAATACCTCTCATCCAATTGACAATAGTGAATTTATTGAAATGCGAGCTGTAATTGCTTTGCATTGTATTGTTATTACCTACTTTATAAGATACAAAATTTCTTGAATCAATAGTTGTATTATACGAGTGCGTAACGCATTCATGATAATCTTACTCAACTAGTAACTGTATAATATTTCGGGGAAGTGCACATACATCATCATGATAAGAACGTGATACGAGGTAGCCAGCGTGACACCATGATTCGACTGCTAGTGACGTAATGAGTGACGGAATAGTGGTTTTGCCTTAAAACCGGAAACACTAGTTACCTGGTTTACGCAGGTTATTAAGATTAAACGATATCCCATGAAATAGCAGATTTTCATTACGTACGTTATTCGAGCTTTTTACAATTTCAATTTTCTTTCTATATTTATCTATTATAACATTTTATATAGTACATGTGCTTATTTATCTTATCCGTCTAGAACACATACTTACACTTATATGCATTTCTTAGTGTTTGATCGTAATTTACGGCAATCGTTCCAACGATCAGCGCATCATTGTCGCCGCTCTGTTATCATTACCTGCAGGTAAGAACTAGATAAGAAGTTCTGACTTACTTGAACGTTTAGTCAAACGTTTCATCTCGCGGTACGCGGACTTTGTTCTGGTGCGCGGTAGGCTCTCGTAGCGATAATGCCATCGTTCGCGGATCGTTGAGCCACTCGAGCCTTGTTCTTCGCAAATTTACGACTGTACTATCTACAGGCTCGCATTATTGGTGCAGTTTCTGCCGTCGTAGCCGTTCTTCTCGTTTAACTTTGAAGAAAAGGATGTGGAGGAAAGCGCGGTGCATCCAAAGAAAGAGTGATTTACATAACTGATAGGAGATCTTCCTCGAAACGTGCGTTCGATCCCGTCGAAGCCAATTAATTCCGGCCAATTAACACTATATAGCGTCAATTACTGATTCGACCAGTCACGACGGTGCGACCTGGTCGCGAGGAGACGTCGGTACCGTTAACTTACAAACTCGCTTTTACGATGTGATCACACCTTCGTCTTGACGCCTCTCGTGGCTACCTTCTGGAATCCTTTAATGTCTTATCTAACAAATTTTTATTTGTCATGGTGCAGTTTAATAATTTGAAATATCGACGAACCTTAGTGTTCGGACGTTAAGCTAAATCTGGTGATATCTATTGTCTTCGCAACAACGACATTTTCTACAACATTTTAAGCTACGCATAATTATTAATGAACTGAACAAACACATGATGAGCAACGTGACAGGTGTTACGAGTGCAAGCAGTATCGAACGCAAAATTGGCTGATATGAGCTATTTTTGTAGTGAACAGAGATGCAGGTACGATGACAATGAAAATCTATGGAATGACGAGGAACAAGGAAAAATAATCGATTACTCAGAAGAACTGTTCTATCGAAATTGATATCACAGTCTTGAATATTTTTGTTTAATGATTTACTAATGCAATGAAAAATTGTGAAATCATAATTTATCGCATTTCCGAGCAGTTAAATTTTTGTTAAAGCGCAGCGAATAAGAAAGCATAAACAGATATCCGACTATCCAAGGTAACAGGACTTACGGATTCTAGATCGACTTAACACCCACGGAAATCGTAAAAATTGTCTCACACACTGAAACCAAGGCACGGTTGTCCGTTCCTTCTACTCGCTCGATGACCTCGCTGCCAACCACCGATAATTCAAACTAGCGCAAACAGCCCATGTGTAAAGATGATCGCGATAGCCAGAAATTAGTGATGAGGATTACCTCAACGTGGAGGAATTCTAACCGCAGGATTCGATGAATCAGCCTCTGAAACGACTTCCTTTAAGATCAATAATTCCGATTCTTCGAATGAGACAGAAGTGCACTCAAAAAGGTTGTTCGCATCGAAGCTAGAGAATATGATAAACTATGTGACTGATGAGGAAAATATGTCAAATGTAATCTGTATGAAGATAAGAGCATATGTGCTGACTCTAGTGAAAAAGCAAGAGAACGTAACACAAAACTAGTTAGGGATAGACAGAAATATACACACTTTGGAGATACAAGTGATTTTTGTGGATGTACTAAACAAGTACAAGTGAATTGCTTTAATCTTCTTTAATTTCTACAATCGTTCTTACTCGATTTTGTGCCATCACGTTAGTCGAGAACTTTTTGCCAGGTGTAGGAAGGAGATAAAAGCGAGGGGAAAAAGACAAGCATTGGAAGAATGTCGTGCAGGAGGAAGATCGATTCGAAACTATGGCTGGAGAATACCCACTCGGTAAGAATCGATTTCGTGCATCGTGATAACGGTTATCCGTATTCTCCAGACCGAACAGAGGGCTGGCGAACCGGGTTTCTAAGGTAACTGAGTTAATAAATCGATGAGACGTTATCGTGCGGGATTAAGTTCGCTAGTTGCTTCCAAGGTGAATATTCCCGTTGTCCATTTTACACACGAGATGTACGAGTATATGACCTCTTGTATCTCACGTTCAACTCAACTGGCATACCGAAACGAAAGTTTAAGACTGATTCGACCATTCTTTGTTTCATGAATAGCGATCAATTAAAGCACTACTAATTAATGAAGTAATATAGTGAGGACAAGGGGGATGTAGTGTTTCCTATTTCGCTAAAAACGTATCAAGTTTCGCAGAAAACAGGAGACACAAAATACACATCGTGTGATATATATATACATACAAACTGTATGTACATATGAAACATGAAATAAAAGCAAGAAGAAAATTAATAACAGACCAGGAATCTTCCAAAGGTTCCTGCTACGATTCCAGCATAAATTCTCTAATCAGTGACCGTAAACGGATCTTATTCACAGCTGATATCAGTATTATTAGTTACATTTGATAAATTATACGTTGATATATCTTGCGGTCCGGAAAAAGTATCCAATCTCGTACGATCGATCCCGTTCTTACCGTTCGTCGTCCGTTTCCGCTGGACAATTAAGACGTGGTCGAATTAAGGCAATTCGCGTGGACGGACGTGGCTTCCGCAAAAAGTCGACGTACATACGTACGAAGACTACGGCAAAGTCGTTAAGAAGGTAATTGCACAACCGCGGTCCAGGCGCCTACTAGTAGAATCTCGTTTTCTAGGACAATCGGCGTTCCTGCGTGAGCCGAGAAACGATCTCGTTCGTACATACAAGATCAAGAACGTCCGTGTTCGTGTCGATAACATTCCAACGATCCTGATATCTGGTGTCATTGTGGGAATCGGGAAACTTTGCCACGAACGGTACTATTTTAATTCCATACGTGTCGATGTTGAATAAGATATGTAGGACAGTTTGATGTTTTTCTTGAATAGATTCTTTAACATTTGGGAAATCTACTTTATATCATGATCGAATATAGTTTTACTTCTTCTTATTGAAAGATTTTAATTACAAGACGACTGAAACGGAATTGATTTCCGTTTTAAGTGAAAGCTTTTCCTAAGAGTTGATTTTTGTGATTTTTGAGTATAATCACTAATTAAAAAATATTAAAAAATTCGAAGTATTACACGCGTTTCTCGTACAGAGTTGTCGAATCTTTCAATATTACATTTAGACTTTCGAATAGAGACATAAACTGTCAACGTTGCCTTGCAAAGTGGCCGCGTTAACTCGTTAGGAATCTTGCAAAATCAGCTGTGACAGTGCGAGAATGCTGAACAGCAACGCGTACGTTCAATCTCTCTCATTCGTAACATACCACGATCCGGAAGACTATTCGAGTCAGCTGTTCCATGTATTAGTTCGGACCAACGTGGGTGGCTATGGGCATATATTGCTTCTGCTTGAAAGTTAAACTGTGACTACTAGTTTTCATTAAACTTTCGTATTTATCCTAATAATTGTAATTTTTCAGACAGTTTTATTGAAATGTCTCATGCCTCTCGGCCGTTCAGAAAAGTTAATTTAAAATAAGTAGTGAAGCTGGGGGAGAGTAGCTTGATTTATTGATCCTTACTATGTATTTTCACCCGACAGCAAGTCACACATAGAAAAAGAGTACACGTACATTCGTATACATATACACGCGCACGCGGAACAAGATTCATTTTCTCTTTCTACTTGCTTTTCTTACTTTCTTCTTTATCCCCCTCTGACTCTCGATCAGGGCTGCATTTATAGTTCACAATTCTTTTTGTCAACCAATCGATTTGCTGTCACTCTTGAGTAGAAGAATTCATACTTGTAGCATACCTTTTATCATTAATCAATAATTTTTAATTTCCAATGTATTTATTTAAGTTAGCCACTTTTTTAATTACAAAATGTCCTGGTTCCGTGTTTGAAAATGTTTTCTACATTTATGTCATAAAGTTATATTTTAAATTGGAGGAAAGATTTCATATAAGTATAAAATTAAGTAGTTGTTAATTGAACTCTATGTATTAGATTCTGAAGTTATTGGAATATAGTTCGAAATTTTAAGGTACAGAGAATAATTCGCAATTTTACATGATATATCTTTATGAAAACATCACTAATTTCAGATACGATTAACTATGTACATCATTTTCCTCTGACTTCAGTCTAATTGTGGAGAGAATGAGTTTTTAAGCCGAGCCTGCTTCATCCCTCTCCCTACCATTCTTTACTCCTTCTTGAGTCTAACTGTCCACTCGTCGAATGACCAGTACGCAACCAAAGTTCGTCTTGCTTACATTGGATTATCGTCCACGTGATTCCGTTTAATGTAAACATCGCAAAATAGTGTTTTTTCGAGATCATAAAAATAGAAAATGAGATGGAAATATTTGTGTGGTACGCGAAATTAATCGAGGTGCATAGTTTCGGAATTCGAAGTACAATATGTCAGATACGCGAAAACGTTCAGTCCTTCGCGTTGCTGTTCGGAAAACTTCGGTGACCTTCGTGGGTGCTCGGCCGTCTACGGCGACGCTCGTAACCGGCATCCTCGAGGAGGCGATGCACGACAGATGCCTTGAGGACCAGTGACAGAATGTTATGTTGAAATCAGGTGAAATTCGGTTAATTCGTGTGTGATTGTGCGGGGAAACTCGGACGCATATCATGCCAGTCACGTGTTCGGTTTATCTTAACAATATCGGATGAAGCCTGATCCTGCCGGAGGACAAAATTTAAGGTAACGATGGGCAGAAGGCAATTAGAATGCAACTGACCAACAATGTTTTAATACAAAAGCTACTGTACGCGACAGAAGGTTCCTTAAGTGTCGAGGATCTTCTGTTTTTATTGACCGAACAATTTCCTATGTTAATACGCTTTTGGTAAAGTAAACAATATTTATTGTCCACTGGGATTGAGTGTGCTTAGGGAAAAAAGAATAAAAATCGAATTACGCGCTTTTAGAATAATATGACAAAGGTGGGGATCTGGCGATTTATTGCATTCGAAGAGATTATAACGGGTGTATCGCGATTTGTATGAATAGGCAACGGTACAAGAAGGAGGTGTACACGTAAAGTGTGCCGTGAACTTATTTCATCGCGACCTACTACGTCCGTCCACCGGACGATGAATCAGTGAATTCTTTTAAAAGATGTAATCATTATTCATCGAAGATCTTATTGCAGTCTTTATAAGTCATCCATTGTTTACACAGTGACTGCACATTGTATAACGTTACGGCGACGATCGAAAATTCCGACTTACCTAATATCAAATACACGGCTGCGACGCTTGCATTATTTCGATCCAGCCTATTTGCATAATATGCCCTACGTTTCAAGTTTATCAACGTAACCTATTCTTTAAGTAGCGCGAGAAATCGTGCGATAATTATTAGATAGTTTGCAATAAGGTAGCCTGACGCAATCAACGAAGGTTGCTTAAACGATGACACAATTCTACACTCGTGATCGCGAGAACTACTACATACGTGCCCATGCTTGCTTTGCGAAATCCGAAGACTCGATTCCGTGCTATTAAAAAGTCATCAATAATTCGGGAATCCTTCATTAAAAATTTCCGTGCTCTGTATTATTTTGTTATAATAAATATTTTCTCAAGTCTACTAATGATCCTATGGCCGGTATTCAGAATCGTTACTTATATTTAAGATCGCCTAAAGCATTTGCTTAAATTCCTGTTTCCTGTATAAGACAGGGACGGGAATATGAAATAAACAGGGATAGCAAATGCTTAAGACGATCTTAAGAATAAGCAACGACTCTGAATACCTAAGCTCACATTTGAGTTTTCCTATGTGAAAATGATGTAATATTATTGAAGTATCACATTTCTGAACGAGATTTTAGATGTTTGAATGTAATTCAGTCAATCGATGCAAACCGTTAGTCAATTTAATTATGTAATAGATCGAATTAAAGCCAACGCTCCATCTCACGGAAGGTTTAAACGAAATCGCGGTATTCTGCTTAAAATATTCATTGTATCGTCATGAGGATCACAAAAGATCTGAATTACTGTTATGCACACGTATATAGCTCGTTTTGTGAGATAATTATAGGTCCCTATTCACCCGTTACGTTGTAACATACCGGAGAAAGTGTGTTTCTGAGTTCTGTGGAGAATGCAGCGATGACGTCATTTGAGAACAAACGTGATCTTTCGATCACACTTTCATGCGGGTGTTCGACAAATTTTTAATACCGAAGAATTGCATTAGAATAGAAATAAAAGTGATTATATCAGTAATAGAAATTCAGTAGTACAATTTGTAATAAATGCAATAATAAAATGCTACGTCGTATGCATACATAATATTATTACAATCCGTGCTTGTCCCGTACTAATGTGCATAATTAAATCGACACCAGGTATATCTCGCTATGTGGCGACCAGTTCATTCGTTGACCTCCTATCGTGCACCACGATGGACCGAAAAACCGTTGGTCAAGAACGGAGAAAGTCGCAGCACACTTTTTCGTCACCTCCGTGAGCCACTTTAGGAGCCGAATTGAATGTGGGTGTAGGAGTTGCAAAAAACATTAAACGAGGACATTGGCATCGCTCGATTATAAATCGTTGAGAAAAGAATTCGTTTCCTTTCATATAAAATTTGCCCAAAATATGATGAATAGTTTGAAATAGTTGAAATTTTTTTAAATAGATTTTTTTATCATGCTCTACTGCAGGGTCCCTGCCACCGCACCATAGATAACGGCCCTCTTTTATTAAGAGTCCTCCCTTTGTCTTATATCGCTTCCTTTCCGTTATTGATTAATTGTACCCAAGTTCTCTTTTACATTACTAGAATAAATCGCACGTTAACAACAGTTTTCCCTGTTCCATCCATTCCCCTTTGCCTCCAGCATCAACATATAGTATTTAAGAGTTATTAAATATTCGCTCGCAGCGAAGTACAGCGCCGTGTCATGTCTTGCACTGCCGATAGCCTGAGAAACTTTTGTCCTAATAACTCGGTAACCTTGTACTAACTCGATGATTCCACTTGAGGATAGCATCTAGAAGGCTACTATTAATATCTACTTATCGCACTATAATAAACGATTGCTGCTCGACTCTTTTTTACAAATTACACTCATTACATCGTAGATTCAAAATTGATATCGTATAAATTTACATATTTAAATGTCGATATAAATCAGTTTGCCAAATACCTGAGTAAGCTTAAGTAAATGTAATTTACTCTATCAGTTTATTATATCTCGTAGCAATTTATTATTTATCAATATGCATTATCAGTTTATTACAAGCGATTAGCTTATTAACTATGCATCAATCTTCACGCTTTTTCTTCGATTTATGATAAACGATTAAAGCTGTGATTTATTACACGGAGTCAGGTGGCGTTTGCTCGTCTATAATCATCGACATTCGGGTCACGTACACCTCATCAGAACGCGGTTTCCAATTACGTATTACGGAATACATTTGCGTAGTCACAAGGGATTCCCGTGACGTCATGAGACACCAATTTGTCGAGGCGAGAAAAGTTCGAGGTCGAAATACTAATTTATTGAAGACTTAATGTCACGCCCACCAGACGCCTTCCATGCACCAAACAATATTTATACAAAACAATTAACTAGATTCAGTAACAGATGTGTGAAGAGATTCTATATCTCTCAAGCTCAAAGAAAAGAGAAGGAAAATGAGACGCTCCCGATTCTCGCAGATTATAGGTCGCATCGAGCGCGGTATAAACTGTTTGAAAAGCGATACATATCTAAGAGGTAGCTTCGAAAATCGACAATTTCGAGCAGTAGAGATTACTTTCCTCCGGAACGAAGGAAACGGTCGAGAGAACGTGGATAGATGTATTTCTCGCGGCGGCCACCGTGTAATTACAACTTGCACAGCCGCGAAAATTTGCGGCTTCCTGCGATCTTCTACCTCCATAAATTCACCATCCATGCTGCTAGGCTTATTGCGCCACTGACAGCGAAGCTAAGATATCGCGAGTTTCCTACTTGAACGAAAACGACAAAGACGCGGTTCTGTTCTGTTATTAGGTACGTTTCGCTGTTGTTCCATCTGTAAAGCAAAACTGCGTTCTATCGGTTGCTGCTGTATCCCATTGAACCGACAATTATTTTCGAGTAAACGCTTCTTTAACCGGAACGCGATTGGTATCTTTACTTCGAAACGCTTCCCTTATTGTTAACTGGAAACTGCAATGTTAGGGTGCTGAAGGATACTAGGTGCTTTCCTCTTTCCTTTTCATACGACGAAAAGGTCTTTTTTTAAATATTATATTTAGCTGTAATAGTTTCTTTCTGTATAACACGGAAACCAATAAAGTTTAAAGGCCAAATCGATTCAGCGAGTTTTTTCAAGCGAACTAAATGTTATTGATGCAAACTGAGTATGAAAGTTTTTGAAGACACATTACATATAGTACGTTCGGGGTATTTAAAATCATTTCAGCTTTGTTACACCCCAGTTCCAACGAAGCTTTAGAATTAAATAGAAAACCGTGGAGCGTTTAATCCAGGGCTAAACCTTTATATTAGCATTTTTTTACATAATATATATTTTCCAAACAATTAGTTCATGCATTAAATCAATCCTTGAATTGCACAATGGCTTATAACAAAAATCAGCTAAAATATTCACCAAAATGCAAATACATAATGCTGTAGACAAAATGTGTAACGTTTTGGACGAAATCAGTATAATAGGTATGATAGATTTCCGATCCACTACTATTAAACTTAAGCTCTTGGAATATCAGGAAGTGGACTCACGAAATCATGCCGTAAATTTCTTTGGCGTAGTTCCGTTACCTTGAAATGTACCTTAATTGAAAAGACGCGTTCTTGTTCGTGCCGCGATTAGCATCTAGCGATTTAATTGCGCGCCCGAGGCTCGTCGATAGAATTGCACCACAGGCATCGAAAGTGAACAAAATTTTCATATCATTGCGTAACACGAACCGTTCATTAAAATGTGATTTTAGAATATAAAAAACGTCAGTCTTCAAATACAATTAAATATTAATAGTAGATAAGCACTGATGATAAAGTAATCTACGATAGATTGTTGATAGCGAGAGTTGAATTTCGAAATTGGTTACTTGTATGTACCGTTATACCTTCGAAAAGAACGGCACGATATAAAATGGACCTTAAGTTAAAGCTCGGACAATGAATCCCCTCTTTATTTTGCTTGGCCCCCTTTCTGTGATTTTTTTTTTGTCTGGTTGGCTTACCAGCTCCTGCAGGTCAGGTCCTTCCGGTCCTCGTCTACACCTGGACGAATTCCAAAGTTCCTCCTGCAGAGTCAAGACCTCTTTTTGGGTAACAAAGCGAGGCGTCCAATATCTCCCGTTCCCTTTTAGCTCGCAGTGAGCTTCTGTCACCTATCAAGTCTTATCTTATCTTTTAAACTCTGATACTATTATAATTATTCATAATGAAATAAAAACAATTTCATTAGCGAGATATTATACTCCTTATCTAATATTAATATGGCAAACCTATTGTTAGTAGATTCTTCTCCTTATAGTTGAATTTTTAAACTGTCGCGTGTTGCTACGACTTAACAAAAAATAATTCGAAAAATTAATTATCGTTTGTAACCAATGAATTGTTTTTCAGATGGAATCCGAGGTGCGGACGCTCAAGCAGGAGTTGGTTCGTACTCAAGAGGCCTTGAGAACGGCAACAAAGAGATGCCGTGATCTGGTGAAAGAGTTGGACAATCGCACCGCGAGCCACGAGTCCGAGAAGACTCTTCGGGATCAGCAGCTATCACGAATACTTCGTGCTCTGCTGGTTCTCGAAGCGCGGCTGAAACAGGAGCAGAAATCGATCAGGCAGCTGCTCTGCGAGAAGGACAACGTGATCAGGAATCAACAGCTCGAGATTGCTAGGCTCAGGCGTTACACCAAGAATTACATTAAGTGCAAACGCGAGCAGACTCTCGGCAAACCGGCGCAGGTCGAGCCAGCAACCAACATCGAGGATGTCGATCTGCAAACATCTAACAAAGATGTAAGTTTTAATTTATAAATATTGAATTGCACATATTCTCTTTTGAGATCAGTGTACAAATGATCGTCTTGCAAAAAAATTTAGAATTTTATTTAGTTCGTGGTCAGTTCATCTTTCTGTAGTGGCCTGTTTACGTTTTTCTACCATAAAACTTTACATGTAAATTGCTGTAGATCGTAAATTTATAAAAAATGGTCGCGATTCTTCTTTTAAATCGTGCCGATTGGTCTTAGATATACAGATATTCTAATGATTAAGAAGAAACGTACATCTCCAACTGAATGCGATTTGCGATTCACAAATCGTAACCTTCGCTTCATCTCAAAAAGGTATTCACGTTTCGTTTCCCATTCGCAGGCAAGCTCGAGGCAGGATTGCAGCATTAGTAAAGACATTCAAAACCTGAAGTGCGAGATAATCACGAAGCTGAATTCGTCTGAGGTACCTGTTGCGCTCGATGACCTGGACCGAGGGGTGAAAAAGACACACAGCTTTGCCGGGAGCGATATCTCGAAAACGAGCCTGACGAGCAGTGAGAACACGGACGCGTCGATTATCACGACCACCACCGAAGGTAGCCCCTCGTTGTTGAGCACCGAGGGTTTCTGCGAGGGCGAGAGTACTGACATATCGCCCGGTTCCACTCTAAACAAATCCAACAGGTGTACGCCAACGATAGTCACCGACAGTGAGAACGAGATTACAATGATCTATGACGACGATGACGATGAAGAAACGATGGCTATGGAAAATGGTACGAAGTTGCCAAGGAAAAAAGTTGGGATCAGCAGTAGGTCTACAACGCAGAAAGCTTGCAAAGAAATCGATATGATCGAGTCCACGACCATCGCGAGAACAGAGAGTAAAGACGATGGGATGGATTGCAATTTCGTCTCGGAAGACGAAGAGAAAGAACAGGAACCTATTTACGTGAATGCGTGTAACGAGACGAACTCGAGGAACTTGGTACACTCGGAGGTCGTTGTATTGGAAGAGTCAAAGATGAATGAAAATAACAGTAATAATAACAGCGGATGCAATGCCGAAAATAGTACTAACGACAATAATAATAGTGTGTAAGTATTGATTTCGTTACTTGATATAGAGATTTCATTTTTGCTAAAAAGGAAAAGGTTTTGAAAATTGATGTTTGATTTTCACAGACATCTGGAAATGAAAATCGAGGAACAGACAGTGGAAGAGACCAGCGGGAACTGGTACAGTGACCCAGACGAAGATAAAATGAACGATGACGTCTTCAGGCACAGTACCTACCAGCCGAACAGCAACCACAATTCCGTTTTAGAGTGCGTTAATCAGATTCTTCTGCGAGACATGGAGGAAGAAGAGAATATTCTTTCCATACCTAGGAGGTTTAAGCATCGCGGAAGAATAGTTCGGTTTCAACCGGCTAGATTGTCAGACATTGAGTCAGTGGGATCTGAGATGGAGCGGAAAAACTCCGAGGAAGGCATTACAGAGAAAGAGTCAACTGGTAACGAGTTTGTCGACATTCCTAACAATAGTTTCGAGCCCACTGCTACGGAAGACGAGTTCGGAATGAGCCTTACTCAAACCACCCCGACATCGAATACCACGACGACGATAACGAATCACGAATCTGGTCTCGATGAAGAAACGGAAGAATCGAAGGCAATCCCAATCATTATTATAGAACCAAAGGTCGAGGTGGAAGAAACGAGGAGTGCAACTTTCCCCGCTTCGCCGATGACGCAAAAGATCAAGACGTCGATGCATGCATCGAATCCGCCATTGAAACTGGAGCGAATAGAGGAGAAGACCTGTTTGCAGATGTCCACAAAGGGACTAACTATAGCAAAGAATTTAGACTACGAGGACATTGAGTCGCTCCCAGAGATCGTACCACCGCCTCCTAAGACTCCTCCTGCGCTACCTCCGAAACCACAATTCAAGAATAATACGTTGATCCTGAAGAAGATTCCTAGTCCCTCATTCCTTATTGATGAAACGCGCAAAAAACAACAGCTTCTTGAATCCAACTCAGCCGAACAGAGTAAAAAAATCTTTGGTTTCATATCCTTCCCCATGAAATCTGGGATCAACGTAACGTCCGCGAGAAGCTTAAACTTCGATGAAGCCAATGTCACGGCGAACAACGAAGAGGGCAGTTTTTGGAGAAATAGGTTCAACAACGTTCGGTCATCTTTTCAGTCGCGACAGAGCCACGAAACTATCGCAGAACAGGCACGGAAAATTCCGAGGGTTACTAACATCGTTCGTCATTTCGAGGAGTTCAAGATTGGTGGCGAATCGAAGGAACAGACGAAGGAACGTACAAAGACAAAGGACAAGCACGTTCATCCAGAATTCGACCAGGAGTTCGATATTCGACAGAACTTCGAGGAGTTCAATTTGGATGAGTGTGATTTATCGGATGATCCAGACAGGCCAGAGGCCGATGGATCGGAGAGGCTCGGCAATCTTGGCACGACGGTCGGTCAGACCGAGAAAACTGCCGCAACCAAAGACAATAATAATGTTCCTCTTGCTGCGAGCAATTCGAGCAGCGGCTACGATCACTTCCTAGAAGCGACAGGCCTTAGTAATAAATCTATACTGACACCGTCGAGGTTGCTAAGCAATCACAAGAGTATGCTAAAGCCGAAAGACGTCAAGTACAAGAGCAAGATCAAGGCGACAGCAGTGATGGAGAAGCACGGCGTGTCCGCGACGAACAACACCACTCACGTTAGATACTGGACCGGTCCGTTCGTCTGACGACTAGCTCAAGTTTTTCCAAAAGGTCTGTTTCGTCAAGAAAACGAAGAGACGTGAATTGAAAAATGTAAACATTTTATTAGTGACTATGGTCAATGAATCGGCACAAGTGCTAACCGACAAGCTTGGCCCGGTTAATCAAGTGCAAAACTTAATTCTGTAAATTATTACTAACATGTTTTCCATCCACTTTTTAATACGATCACGTTTTATCAAATTGTTCGTTACTAGATTATCGGAGAAACCGTAAGAGTTAATTTATTTATAGCAACTTCGATCTTAAACGATACTTTGATGTGTTATATATTTTGATATAAAATGTTTCTGATCTATTTATAACATTATTAACGAAAATCGATGAAATGAGAATTGATCGTGACAAGTTAACGTCGTTTTCCTTGTTGTGAAGTAAATTTACATACACTATGGAAATTAAACGTTTTTATCGTGACAACATTTTTGTTCTATTGTTTCCAACGAAAGATGACAAGTAAAAAATTATGTAATGAAATAAATTATAGCAATGGATTCCTGATAATATACCATCAATTTAAAATTTGAATAGTCGTGGCTTTAAATTAACTCGTAATTACGTATTATGTTATATAGCTCTTACCGTATAAGATTCTAATTGTCAAATGTTAAATATCTCAATTAATTCTTGCGTTATAGAATTTAAGAATCCGTGAGTATGTAATTACGGGTTAATTACTAGTCGATGTAAACAATATAAAAACGAAAGGTATATACTCTGTGAATGATTAGAAATCATATATGTAATACACATACATACCAACAAAATTGAACTCGAGGATAAAAATAAAAATATACTTTCCCTCTTTCTTTTTTGTTGTAAATAAAATTGAAGATGACTTTATTGAAAGATTTCCTGCATTTGATTAAGAAATAGGAATATATCCGTACAATGTTAAATATCTCGTGACAATATTTATAAACAACTAAATCGTATGATACAATCATATATATAATTTCTACTATCTATAAAAATACAACGCAACTCTATAAAAATACAATACTAATTGTCACTGGTATCAAAATCTAAATAGGACACGGAAGAAAAAAGTACTTCGGAATATGGACAATATTTAAATTCGAACATTTCATCAGTAAATGTTTTCAAAGGATTCCATTTGCGGGTTAGTATGAATCACTCGTTCAGGCACTCTATTACACTTGGCTAGAGCTATATTATCAATACAAATGTATAGATATAGCTGACAGAATTGCATGAAGAATCACACAATCAGTTTGGCACAGTGGTTCGTTCAAGTTTCTCTCTCTGCACGAAAGTCGTAAGAGAACTACGAAAAGAAACAAGAAATTACATAAATATTTATACATATATGTCATAGTACGTTAAAAACGTTAGCTAGATGTCGGTCTTACCTCTTTATCCAAGTCTTTTTGAGTCCAGACTTTAATCACAGGAAGATTATACTGTAAATTATATGGTATTAAAAATAATTAAACTCATACACGTAGAATATACGTTCTTTTAAATAGTTACTTACAACAGAAGAATCGGATTGAACACTAAGACGTGGGTTAAGAACGAATGGGACTCCGTCCAAATCAGAGGAGCCTGGTAGTGTACCATAGATCGAAGTCGATCCGACGACTGTTGACGTGGGTGGTTGAGGTGCTGGTCTTGTCGGTTTAATTCGTGCGTTAGGACTCAAAATTTCATAATCTCTATCGTTGGATTCATCCAAATCTTTGCCCCCACTACCACTAATTTGTGGATAAATTCCGTTCGCCGGTTTTGGCGAGAACTTTGGTTTTGGCGGTCTTTCGGGCGGTACCCTGTGAGGTGTTCCATTTGATGGATTCGGGGAAGCATTTTGAAGTAAACTGTAAATAAATTCATCACATGAAACAGCCATCAAATATTGCTGTAAACATTTCAGATGTTTTTATCACGAAAATGGAATTCTTACTCTATATTAACATATGATTGTGAAATCGAATTCCCATTTACAATATCCACAACTTTGTAGCAAACACAAACTCCATTGATGACACTGAAAGCAATTAGATTTTTATAAAACTGTCCCGAGATTATCACTCATACGACATACCCAGCTGCCATAAATCCATTCGGCGCCATTTTAGAGGCTTTATGCATAATCCTACTACATATGATAATATCAGTAACTGCTTTCGAGCAAAAATCCTTATGTCTAATTTTATAGCACAACTGTTTCTTCCTCCATGCCTTCTGCACTAAAACCCATTATTGCAATGTACTAAACGAAAACTAATGGCCCTTACATTACATTTTGATCAGTCTTACGTATGCTCACTTGAATCTACAGTATATGAGATTAAGCTGTATCCTTCTGGAGGTGTTTCTCGTTCATTTATGACCATTATATCCTCGACTACACACTCAGGTATACCTTCAGTCTTTGAAAAACATACGTATCTGCCTTTCTTTTTAATAAAAAGCCCACTTTCTCTCCATAAGTCTGCATCCGTATCCTGGTCATATGTTCTTGACACCTAGTGAGAAAGTAATGCTTCATAATCCTTGACAAAATATTGACATTGAGTAAGAAACGGCAAGTAAGCTATGACGAGGCATAAATTTATAAAGTCAACAATGTTTACTAACGAAACAAGTATGACTAATTATACACATTAAATGATTTTGAAACTCTACTTACTACTGTGAAATTTTGTGGGCACTTATCTACATCTTCAATGACACTTATGGCAGTAATAGGTCTATCATCAGGTAACACAGATGATAGTTGATGAACCAACATTTTGTTGCAACTAGTCTTCTTAGACATCGCTGCAACCCTGCTGAAAGTATATTTGCGTCACTATTCTCGACTTCTCTTATATATGTAATATATATACATACGCGAAAATTTATATTTAGATTATTAGATTAGAAACTACGACTTCTCTATCACGTGCAGATAAGAAACGTGAAACAAAAAGCCGTCCCAATAAATAAAGGTACTTTTAATATAATATCGAATAATGATTTCTTATGTATTTTAATTAGTAAAAACATCCGTGTAACTCAATTCGATCCAATGACGCTGACATTAACATTCGAAAGTATAAGGATTCAGCCACATTCATAACAAGCATGTTCACCGACTGAAGTTCATTATACTTCAATTCATTAAAAAGTGCGAGGAATGCATGTAACTGTGGAGTTCCCCTACTTTGTCTCGATGACCTATTTTCGATCGATAAAAAAATTGACGATGAACTGAGAACTGTTTACGCCAAGCGGATTTCGAAGCTGACAAAAATCAAAGTGATTCTGAACACGATATAAAATAAAACTTAATTGCAATCGAGGGACGTACCGTTCTGAAAGATATAGTATCGCTCTTACAATTAGTATCGTCAATTTTTAAAATATTCCACGACGAGCGAAACACCGAATTCGACAAATATATCACTCGCGTTTCTCAATTTGCTTACCTTCGTTAAACACCGTGTGACACAAATTTATAAATTCCGCATATTCGTCAGTTTATTTATCGTCGTGCTTTTCAATTAGCCGGCCAATTAGTAGGAATGTAAGAAACACGGTAATTCCGGGACGAGTCACGATCGACTCGTATTTCCTTTGACGCACGCAATCGTATTCTTCGGAACGTTCATTCGTAATAAAGTGGAGGTACTCCAACGCATATGAATAAACAAAGACAGAAGGAAAAAGAATTGGACGATAGAGAGAGGCGGGAGGGGGAACTGAAGAACTTAGCTATCGGGCGAGGAACGTATACATATGTGGATACAATCAATTGTTCAGATTGTTCCCCGTCAATGCTGAGTGGTATAACATTCGCGCACTTTTCAATCGTCACTGTGTAAAGAAACCGATAAGATAACCAGTTACCGAGGCACACGAACACACTGAACACACTGTTACTCGTAACGATGGTTTTTCTTCGCTGCCTCTTCGTTGAACGCTCCCGACCCCGACTAAATTGATATCAATGACATCACTACTACTACTACCACCAACACGACCTTAATGACTACCGTCTTAACTGACTAGGGTAGTTGCTAGTTGCCATTGCCAGTTGCATTCAATAGGGTAACACCTTCACTGAGATTGATGGCATACGACATCATGAGATGTTATCTAAAACTGGCAAGTGCCATCAAACACACACGCAATCCTTTCGCTCTGATCTGCTATTTTCTTGTTTACATCGTTACTAAATGGTTAAACATTAACGAGATGAAATCAAATAGGAGAGGCTGACTCGAAGAGGCTGCATATACACTTGACCTCAAAGATGTGTAGTGACTAACTTCACATCCTTCGTAATTACGATTTACTCGTATGCATTTTATACGTTCAACAAATACGCAGTACATAGTTGAATATATGTATATTTCAAAATATTAATAATCAAGTTATTGAAACCATTATTAATATGTATGTAATAATTGCTAGATAGAATGTTCGTTACACAAAATTTAACGTACTCATAGAACTACTTTAATCGTGATGACGCCCATTTTTTCGAGTTCTTCATTTTGGAACTGTAACTATTTTTCAATAAGGTACTTTATTATTACTCCGCGATAATTCTTATTAAGGATTGGGAAAGGCACAATCTAAGATCATCCGCTAGATTATTAAATATGTATGCAATTAATATTATACATGATCGGACGTTTATTTCGAATTTTTTAATATAATGTATTGTACATATAATAACAGAAAGAGTATAATCCTGTACAATAGTCCATTTAAAACTGACTAATTTCAAATAAACACCAAATATTTATAAAACTTGAATTAGTAATATGAATGAATATATGTATAATTATATAATGTACATAAAATAATGTAAAATCTTTGTATTAAAACTAATTCACCAAATATTTCTTCATTTTGTGGAAGAAAAGCTATATATTGCCTGTTGGTCCCAAATGCCTTCAAAATGCTGCGAAAGTTCGAATAATTCATTCACTATCATATATTGATGCCTATCCTTACTTACGGAGAGAAAAATTCTGCAGGAAAATTCATACGAATGTATGTATTAGTACGTTACTGTTGTCAATCAGCATAATTAGTAAAGACGTGAAGCCAGTCCCTACAAAATCTTTGAGGCCGATTGTACGTATAATTTCTTCGAGTCTGTCTTTTATGCCTTATTTGATATCGTTACGCTTAACTATTTATCAACGGCGTAAACAACAGAGAGAGTAATAGACAGTATCGAAAGGACTATGTGTATGCACTATCTCGTCGATAGACATACAATTGGATAAAACTTATGCGGCTATTTAGCATACGTAAGTATAGAATATATAGCTGCAATGAACGTGTTGACCGTTCACCTCTGACGACGTATTCCTTCGCTCCTTTCTCTGCGTATCACTCTTGCCGGATGTTCACTTGATCACATCCCACTTAATCCTTAGACCGAATTAATCGGTCATCCAGGCGATAAGAAAGTGAACGAGTATCGGACACCATCCTTTTATCAAAATGCTTCTATTGGGGGTTGTTTGAAAGTTGTAAGGAAAATTTTAACACAGTTGTAAATTTACAACTTTTCTATAACACTTGCTATATGAAACAGATCCGTAACATTCAGATACGGTTATGACTATGACGACTTCCTCTCTTATAAAAAATCCAATGTGATTCAAGCAAATTGCTTCGAAGTCAAACTAATATTATGAATTCTAGGCTTCTACCGTAGTTGTAAATGTAAACAGATCTAAATAGCGTTGTCACGCGCATGTATAAATATCATTTATTTATTTAATTTGCCATTCGAAATAGCTACGGTATTTATTTGATGTAACATGAAACAAAAAGATTGTTGAAACTTGTTTTTAACTGATTTGTATATGTAATAATTAAAATGAATTGTAAAATATCAATGTACGATACGAATGTATATAAAATACTATGTCTTATCATTTAGAATCACGCATTACGACCAACATTTTTAATAAAGCATAATGTTTTCCGACTCCCAGTATCGAGAAATTAATATTCTTTGTGATCACATTCATGGCTTTTACAAGTATGCACTTAATGTGTTAAGTTTAATTAATTTTATTAAGAAAGAAGATAAATTATATTCCACTTTTGTAACAAATCTGTAAGAATCGTCGTGACGATTAATAATTTGTGATGACTATACAAAAAAACTACACAGCGAACGCATGAATAATAACACTTCACATGAGATGCAAATAAATAACGTGTTATATTATTTCCACCTGTTATATTATTCTTTATCTATCGAACGACAATGAAGTCCAGCTTCTAAACTTCTAAATGACGAATTTTTATATAATCGCAAAACGCTTCAACGTGTCTGTTTTTATCGCACTAATCGAGGACTCACGAATTCGATGAATGATGTAGTGTACAAATGAAACGTTTCTCTACGCATACTCTTTTTAACGGGTTTCAAAAATGACGCGTCGAGCCGTGCTGAAGTTTTTTTTTTAATCATAGTTATTATTATCGTTAATATCCATATAATTATCAATAACTACAATAAAACACAAAACAAAAAATGGTGATATCTGTACAATTCTTTTTCTTAAGTAAGTAGTAACATAAATTTTTTTGTATATCAGTAGCCTATTAATAGGAAGAAACTAAATCGTAATATTCACAGATATTTTACAAGATAGATAAGACACGACGCAAACACGCACACCGTGGTAAAGACTTGAATTCTCTATACTCTATACAATACAAAACGATCTCTGGAAAGTGAGAAGGAAATAAAAAATCGTAGAGTCGAGCAAAGGGAAAATGAACAGACAGAAATAGGAAGAGTGAAAGAAAGATCGAAATAGTCATACATACAGGGCAGACAAATAACTTTGCTGCCACAAAAACGAATAAAATACCGCGACGTGAGGGTCTTACTCGTGTCCTATTATGTATACTTAACCGTAGCTGTAATATATAATGCTTTCTGTTAAACTCATCGTATCGCTCGCTCACTTATACCTCTATACTGTACATATGCACAACGCATCTTTTACACTGTACATGCACACGCTCCACGAGTATCCGCGCTGCCTTAAATTAATCGCGCTTTCTTCTTTTCTCAGAGATCGTTAAAACATTGCTTTACGGTCGGACAATGCGTATACACTTTGCATTGTTCATATTACTGGCACAAGAGATCGCCGGCCAAAAGCCGAAGATCTCTTTGCTCTTAAACAACAATGCAATAAATATTTGTTATATTTGTTGTACTTGTTTCAATGTTCGATTAATTAAATTATATTTCTTAGTTGATCGAAGACGGAAAGAAGAGGTGAAGAAAATATTAACTTGAAACAAAGAATTGTGCAGAATACTCCTTAACGATTGGACATGGTACCAAGGAGAAAGCAATGTTTTAACGATCCCTAATACTTTTACATAAGGTTATTTTCTAGAGGCATGCGCTCTATGCGCAGCAGCATAATATCGTAAATAGGTAAGTTTCTTTATATTACTTAATAATGTATTTTTTGTCACGGCTCCGTGTGATAAAGTGTAACTTCTAGTCTATACACGTAAGCGCATTATTATCCTCGACACGATTGCTAAAGAGTCTATGACACATCGCGCAAAAGGCGACAAAAGGATAAGAGAAACGGGGGCTGGGGGGAAGGAAGTGTACAGAACAAGAGGGCGACTTCAATGGTCAATGAGATCGGTCATACTAGTTCGCCCAGTATGACTTTTAAAGCCCCCATCGTTTTCCTTTCATTTCTTTCGTTTTCTTTTTTTGTTTAATGTGCGGATTGGTACGTTTTCTAACTAGCCTGATGTAATAACGTTAATAATAATCGATAGCAGCGATAATAGTAGTAGTAGAGTAGTGGTAATAATAATAGTAGTAGTAGTGGTGATAATAGTATAGTAGTAAATAGTAGTAGTAGCAGTTGTGATAGTAGTAATTGATAATAATTATTAACATAATAATAATAATAATAATAATAATGAGAATATAATAATAATAATAATAATAGTAATGACAGCTGTACTTAACGATGACGATGACAGTAATAATAATAAAAATAAGATTAATCGTAATAAAGAAACGAAATAAGAATTATTATAAATCTGCTCGCTTATAATGTACATAATGCTAACGATGATAATAATGATAATAATATGTTACATCCTGCTCTGGGAAAATTATATTACACTAATGGATAAACGCTATTCTTTTAATTCTTTCGCACTTTTTCCCCTATCACTAGAGGTCTAAACCGTAACTTTACTTTCTAGTTCGACACGACCGGCAGCAGCAATCAGCGGCAGCAGCAACTATTGTTACAGTTAATATAATACATAGGTATTTATATAGAGCAGTATTATACAAAAAACACATCACATACCGCGCGGACCGATACTCGGTCTTTCCGATTTTACAATGTTTTTATTTTTGTTTTCTTCGTCTTTACGCAGATATATATCGTTAAATAATTAAAATCACAGTAGTTATGCCCTTGCTGGCTCGCTTATAATTTATACAGTGTCATTAATGTCTAAGCTTACTTAAAATAGCTCATGTATATTATAGTGGTAGGGTACATTAGTTTTATTATTATTTCTTGCTTAATCTTCATCGTCTATTCTCTTAATTACGAAATCGACTGTCCATCTAGAGCAACGGTAGGTATTTATCTTTATTGTTTTTTTTCTAAAGGAGGGACGAGTGTGAGTTTTCTTCGGAAACTTCATTTTTTCCTTTTTCTTTTTTTCATTTAACTTTCTTTCTTCAATCTTCCTTTCACAATGTGGACATCGCGTGTGTTTTTATTTTTAAACGAATCGATGGTCTTCACTAAGGGCTGAGGTTATGCCTGAGCCGCTTGTCAGAAAGACCAAGAGTGACGTCGGTCGATCTCACAAACGTTGTCAGTGGGTAGCGAGCTGCGAACCATCAGGAACGGAATTCGCGGTCGCGAATTAAATCGAGGCAGAAAGGCACGCTCGGTGATGTTCGCACATTGACCGTGCTAGCCTTTCTACGGCACACAACCCCGTACCTATGTTTTAGGCCTATCGATCATAAGAAAATCGGCATTATCTCGCCGAAGAATCTGTTTGATTGTCACTGACAGAACTCCAGAGGAGAAACATTTCTCCCCCTCGGGTGTAATACTCTCCTGATCGCTTTTTGTTGTACGATACGCGGCAGCACTTCGTCGGTGGGGACACTCCAGGCTTCATGCCACATGCGAAGCGTCCTACAAGTGCGTGAAGGCGAGAAGTATGTGAGATAGAATGTAATCCAGTAGACCACTGGCTGGCCTCAAACTGTGGCGATGACGATGAGGAGGTGAGCAATCTTCGCAACGCGATGCAACAAGTCTGGTGCGATTCGCGCCAAACTTTCGTTCGCGAAATCACAAGATGGGAATATGTGGACTACGTATGCAGGCTGTAAATTAAATTAAAAGCATATTTTAATTCCTATCTATCAACATCGTTTAACTCTCGGATGATGGAACTGTTCACAGAGTAGCTTACTTTCTTCTTGAACTTAGATTTACAATTGCAAAGTGGGTAAAAAATATCCAATATTGTTTATATACCTGTTGAGATCCTGGTGCTGCAATGTTGACAATTCCAGCTGCCTGTTTTTGCTGTAGGTACATGATAAATCCAGTTTGAAGATTTTTACTCTGTTGTAATACGTCTACTTCGTCTCGACCGCAAGGAAGTGCGAGTAACATACAGTGTTCGTTGTCCATCTAGAAAAATTATATAAATTCACAACTTGTTTCTATCTTAAATTGCGATACAAGGAATTTTCGAAGAATGTACCTGCATCTTTCTCGCCACTCCCTCGACCTGAGTTTGTTCTAGTCTCATTCTTTGTGCGATTCTCAAGGGTGGAGTAGAGCCATCGCTGTTGCACGGTAGGCTGTCCCTCGCCACGTTGGGATTACCGAAGACGAAATGCATTTGCACAGCCGCTTGGTCGTTCTTAAGCGCCAGCAATCCTTGCCACATGACAGGGTAACGTTGCAGCAACATCTGGAATGAGTCTGCTTGCGGTGGTATTTGAGCAGCGTGGGGCGGCGTGACCACTTGATGTTTTCTAGGTCTATCCGGAGTGATAGCTCGGTCGCTCGGCGCTTCGCTGGCAGCGATCGGATATGGTGAACGCAAATGCGCCGGCGGAGGTTCGTAGAAGTTAGTCCTAGCGCCTGCTGGTGCACCGGTTAACGATGAATTGCTTCCCGCATTGTATTGCGGTGGTGGTGGTGGTAGCCTGACCGATCCATGCATCATGTACACTTGAGCCACCTGAGGACTGTCGGTTGTACGATCGTGCGGTGTCCTCGTGCGCCTCAATTCTAAAGGAGGACTGTGACTGTCTTCAATGCCTGTCTCCAATTTTGGATCCAGCGGCAGGTGAGGAGATCGAGTTTCTTGGATGTGATAAGCTATACGAGGAGCGGTCAAGACTTCTTGTTGAGCCCGAAGATACTGGTACTGTAACATCTGCGGGTGTATGTAGTGCGCTGGTGGTAATTCCGCGCCTCTCGTCAATCCTCCGAAGTGATTCACAACATCACCCTTACGAATGAAGAAACCATTATGAATAAATCATTGTTTTAAGCATATTCTTTGATATAAAATAAACATAAAAAATTAATTCAAATAAATTTGAAGTTTAATTATACATCGTGTTTACGTGTTTAACATTGACGTATCGTAATAAGATTGAAATAATATGAAAGTTAGCTTAGTAAGTACCTGAGAAGCATTAGCATGATGATGGGCAGGTGGGGGCAATGGAGGGCTCTGGGACCGATGTGGGGGGACAAGTCCATATTGACCCCCTGGTGATGGAGCAGCACCCGCACTCCCATGCTAGCCAAAACCAAGCCGTGTTAATCCATGTGTCGAAATAATTTTAAAAGATACAAGAACACAATGATTAAGAATAGCTATTGCTTTATTTTTTCAATATCGTTTATGGTCAATATGTAAAAATGCATCCTGAATGATAGAATAAGTACGTTATATGTATATCTAAATGAGTTTTTTAAGTACTGTGTAACATATTATAATGTATTTCCACATATATGTATAGTATATCTGGTATATTAATTTAATGTATTAAAGATTGCCAAACTAGGTCAGATTAATTTCATTCGAATCAAATTAGGTGCGGATCACGAACGAATATTATGTAACTGCAATATTTTTAGTATATGATGTATATCGTGAGTATCAAGAACTTACCAACGGCCCTTCGTAGCTGGATATCGGCACTCCTCGTGCCTGAGGGCTCGCAGTTGGAACAATAATGCAGCCAGACATCGATACTTCAACTTTCGGTGGTTCCATCGGTACCTAGAAATTATTATGAAAAAATCATATTAGTTTTTCAAAGGAAATCTAACAATAAGTTACACAAGTTACAAAGAAAACAAATTTACCGGTGGCTTTGGTGCCGGAAGTCTTGAACAGCTTATACTGGCAGGCGGTGGGTTTATCAAATGCGGCTGATTTGGTGGACTGGCGACCGCTCCGGTAACCATTGGTGGTACCACAGCCTGCAACAAATGCGCTTTTGGATGCGGATGAGGTTGTCCGTTAATAGCCTTCAAGGTGGTCGGTTGAGAAACAGGTTGATGAATTCTCGGTGTTGGTGGTGCAGTTACATTGGTCGGGTGAACGTTCATGGGCACCTTCTGAGGGAGGTTCACTATTGCTGATGTCTGTTGCTTGGCCGCTTGGAGAAGGTGTTGTTTGGGATTCGGCGGGGTGCCCGTGTTGTTCAGAACCGGTGACATAGGTTGACCCTGATTCTTCCCATTCACAGAGTTGATCTGAGGCGCTTGTTTCGCGCGAGGACTCAAACTCGGAGATACCACTCTGTTGCTGGAGACTTGCAGATGAAGACCTTGCATCGGCTGCGTTGGCTTTACCATGTTCTGTACCACCGATGGAGTAGGCACACTGGAAACTGGTGATTTCGTAATTACTACTGGCTGTTGCACCGGCGTAGCCAATTTACTGGCGTTCAATACATGGGCCTTCAGACTAGTAGGTTTCGATTGGGTCGAACACATAGGTGTCGTTTGTGGAATCGCTGCCGTTGTTGTAACTATGGTTGTAACTGTGGTAGAAGTTGTTACAGGCACATTACTAGATGTGACTTGAATTACTGGAGACTGTGGCTTCGTGATCACGCTGGTTTGTGACTGAATCTGTTGACTTTGTGCCGATTCTACGGGTGGTTCCTTTTTGACGTCTTCAGAAACAGTCAGATTTTCAGGCTGAGGAGCTACGGCTTTCGGTCGCAACGCTTCGCTCGCACTAGAACTGGCATTAACTATAACAGCTGGGGTGGTTCTCAAATCGCATGGCGCCCTGCTCACTGCTTGCATTTGTCCGGACGACGTAGAAACCGGAATGTATTGACCTTCCTCCGACTCTCTCATAGGTATTAACATTCCGGTCACTGGATCTATTAATGTCATGGGTTCGTGAGAGACAGGTTTTTGCGTGGACGATATTACAGATGGACTTGTTTCCTCCACCTTCGGTGTTTCTTCCCTAGGCTGATCAATTTCCTCTTTAATCTGAAGTTCTTGGGTTGCCGGCTGTGTTTCCTTGATTTTCTCTTCATTGCTATCATCATTGTTCTCAGAAGTTCTTCGTACTGATTTACCACGCGTGCTTCTTGGCGACTTCCTCGGTTCAGTTGGTAACTGTACCGTGGTTTGCATGTTGCGAGGGGAATTGTTGTGTCTAGTGCTTCTTCTAGTAGCATGAACATTGCTTGCAGCTCCTCCAACTATACCCTTATTCACCGCCGAGCCGCGCACTACATCCTCGATTACGTCGTCGATAGTGTTCCTACTGCCGTCCTTTTCAGCTAATCTCCTAGATTTTCTCGTGTTTGATGCTGGAGAGACGAATTCCTCCGGTGGTACTTCTTTCACCGCAGCTATAGGCGTTGCTGGCTGCGCATTGGAACCAACCAGATTCGGCACCGGTGATTTAATCGTAAGAATTAACCGCGGACGTCCGGCGTTATCCTCTTCGCTGTCGTCGTGGAACTCATATACATCAGCTGGCAATTTATTTTTCTCCACGTGATGTTTGCTTCCTCTAGAAGCCCTGCTTCCCCGTTTATGCACGGCAGTGGTCGTGTGTCTGCTACTTCGTCTAGTAGTGACTCCTCCTCGGCTACCAATACCTCGCCTGCTCTTCGTCCTTCCACGGCGACTCCTCGTCGATTCGTTCTCGCACGTCTCCACGCCCTCGTCCTGCTCATCGTTTCCTGTGAAATTCTTTTTACCGTCGGCCTCTGTTGCCTCGGCATTGAACCACTCGGATTCGTTCACCTTAGCTTGCTCTTGCGATTCGTTACTGATATTCTGACCGTGTTGCGTTTCCTCATCTCCATCGTTACCCTCGCCATCGCACAATGCATCCACTTTCTTTATCACGCTCTCGATGTTCACCTCTTTCGCAGACCAGTAATCACTGTCCTCTTTGCTGTCCGCTGGATCTTCCTTAGACATGTCGATGGCGAGAGGATCTGTGCTCGGTTCTTTTAGTGGATCTTCTGTTGATTCTTCTTCTACATCAACTTCTTCCTTGATTCCATAACGCTCCGTAACATTCTCCTTAACGACTTCCTCCTTTTTTACCTCAACAGGTAGGTTCGTTACAGATTCGGATTTAATTGGTGTTTCAATCTCCATTTTAGGAACAAACTCTTCCCCCGGTTCGGATTTTGGTACGCAAGTCAGTTTCTCTGATTTCACCGTGTCCTGTTGTTCGGCTTTAGGCGATTTCGCTTCGACACTGGCGTTCGATTGATCCAATGAGTGTTCTGAATCGCTATCAGGGAATTCTTCTTTGACCACGACGTTATCATCTTTTACATCCGGAGGTTCCTTCTTCACGACATTCATCGGTTGAGTAGGTTGAATAGGCGGAGTAAGCTGCATGGGTTGAGCTGTTTGCGCTATTTGTGTATCAGAATCCACTTCCAGTTCTTGTTCCGATGGTAATCGCGATTCGAGACATTCGGTCGAACTCTGTTGTTCATTTGCTGGTGTCGCAGACACGGTAGAGGTTGTAGATGGTATCGTCCTGGTAATAACTGCTGCTTGAGGGACAGTAGACACCAACGGTATGTGAGGCTTCGGCAATTGACTACTTTGCGAAACCGGTGAATGTTTTTGAGTGTTACTCAATGGCAGCGATGTCTGACTGACGATGCACTTCTCTTCTGGTAAGGAAACCGTTACTGTTGGTGTCATTGGTTGAGAAATTATCGGTACGACTGTTTTAATAAGCGGTTGATTAGCTGACGTACCGGTGGACGCTCCGATACTGTGAACCACTGATTTATGAACAAGATGAGATTGTCCGTGAACTATTACAGGGCTCGGTGTCGAAGAACGCGGCACGTGGGTGGTCAGAAGTTGAAGACTCGATATCTCCTGCTTCTGTCTAGGCGAGAGTAAATTAGTATCCGTTGTGATGGGTCCGGAAATCTGTTTCTGACTTCTAGACGATAGGGAACAGGTATCTGCGATGCTGGACGGTTTTCCGAATACCGGACTGGATGTGCTGGCGTTGATTTCGATTTTTGCCGTTTCAGGAATATACGTGGGCGGCTGATTAGGCGAAGGAACCTTCGGAGAAGTGGAAGCTTTGTTCGTTGGCTCTGGAATAACAGCTGGAGATAATTTTGGCTCTTCCAGACGTTCCGGAGGCTCGTTCGGGTTCACCGGGAGCAACGTCTCGATCACCGATTTCCCACCGAGAGCAGAATCTCTCGAACTCTTTACTTGTACGCCCGGAGCGAGCGGTGGTACGGGCATGTAAGGACGGTGCGGAATATTTAATGTCAACGGTGGTAAACCTCCTCTGGGGTGACTAGGTGCTAGTGCCCGCATACCAGGAGCGTGTTGAATCACCGGTTGTTGCGAGGCCGCAGTGGAGTATATTTGTTGCGTGGGTGTTTCCGGTCTATGAGCAGAGATGGGCACGCTTACAGCAATCCTGGCTGGTGGTGGAGATGGCTTTCCGACGCTTGGCACATGAGGACTGACCGCAGAATTTCTGGACCACTGTCCATTAGGCGACAACGGCTGTAAGATCCTCGGCGACAATTGAGATGGTACCAGTGGTGGCATCCTGGATGGAACCAATGGTGGCAGAGGAGTCTGATTCGAAGAGGCTGAAGTGGAAACCGCGGGAATATTCTGCATTCTCGGAGAAGTTTGTCGCATGGGAACCATTTGAGATTGCGGTGATACAGGTAATTTCTGGTATAAAGACTGCACGCCGATGGGTGGTGGTCTGGGACTGGCCGCGGTTATTCTAGGCGTTTCGCTAGTTATAGGTACGCTACAAGGACCGAGAACCGGTTGTTTGTACGGTGGAAGCGGAGGAGTGGAAGCACGGGAGACGATTCTTTCCGGACTAGCAGCGGTGATGTTTGTTTCGGCGTTGTCCACAGTCTTAACCACCTCTTGCTGCTTTTCATTCAAGTTCCATGCGTGAGCGATCACGGTGGTCGGCGGACTCTGTGGTTTTACGGTGATACGCGCTTCAATGGGCTTTTCGGACGAGACCAGAGTAGGTGTGACCGTGTTTGCTGTCTTCGTGGGCGATTTGTAGAACGATGGAATGTCTGGTGTCTTGGGTGGTTGTGTCAAATCGAAAGTCTCGTAGTTTGGATCTTCCTCCGTATCAGTGTCTATTTGTAAATCGTGTTCGCTCTGAGGAGTGTCGGGTTTCATATCTGCTTCGGTTTCTCCCGTGGAAGCATTTAGACTTTCCACAGCCTGTTGCATCTCCTCAACGTCCTCTTGGGGCGCCTCGGCAGGTGCACCGACTGCGTCTTCCGCTTCCGCATCTTCCTCCTCACCCTCATACGAGAAATCTTCAGTAGAACCCCCGAAAGTTTCCTCCAATAAAGCAGCGACTGCGTCTTCGGTTTCTTCTTGTGAGATAGCAACGCGTGGTTTATCCTCGGTCTGGGCTGGTGGTGTGGTTGGCGCGGTCACTTCTGGCTCTTCCCTTCCGCTGCGCGACTGACAGCTAGTTTCGCGTTCCTCCGGTTCCGAGATACTCTTCACAGCGTTCTCATGGATGGTTTCGTCGATCTCGATTCCGAATCCTGGGATGAACTTATCCTTTTTCTTTTCTGGTTTTGCAGACTGAATGCCGCCGCCACTGACAACTGGAGGAGTGATCGTTGGTACGGTTGCAACGCTGGACACAACCTTTGGAATGGGACTTAATAGAGTCTCTCTAGGCGTAGGCAGAGTAGGTGACAAGGTTTTGGGAACCAATGGACTACTGGCTCTCGGCGGACTAGGATCAGCACCCAAATAGGGTAATTCACCACTCTTCTCGTGGTGATGGTGATGATGATGATGGTGATGATGGTAATCTTTCCGACTGCGCTCTTCTTTCGACTTTTTCCTCTTTTTCTTTTTCTCTTTAACTTTCTCCGGAATGGTCGACGGCGTAGATGGTTCCACGCTGTCGTTATCATCCGTAAATCGAAATACATCGTGATCGTTACTTTCTGTACACACCACTGCTGATTTAGGAGAGTTAGGCAGACCTAATAGTTTTGCCTCGATCTCTCGCCCTGCCTCAGCTAAGTCTACGCTGTTCTCGTCCTCGGGTTGATGGCGACGTTTCTTCTCTGCCTTTCGCCTGACTCGTTCCACATCCAGTACTGGACTTTGACCACCATCACTGTCGGAGACGTAAGTGTTATTCTCCGATGTGATATTGCCTAGACGGTTGAAGAAAGTATTGGAAGGAGCGTCATCAACGTCGTCGGACAATGGGCCAAAGATGTCCTCCATACGTTGCGAGTCTCTCGCCTCCTGTCTGTTGAGCCTCTTTCTCCTCGTCTTTGCTTTATCGTCACCGTTTCTGTCTCTCCTCTTGTCTTTCTTATTCCGTTGTTTCTTATCAGATCGTATCCTCTCCTCTGACTCTAATGCTGTTGCTCCAGATGTTGGGGTTGTGGACACACTAATAGACTCTGTCGTGTGATTAGGTCGACATTCCACGTTACTCGCTACGATGTTCGATTTGTTCTTATGCTCGATATTTTCAGATGATTCGGGCGTTTTCAGACTCTCCTCGGTTGACAATGAATTTTTCTGCCGCTTCTGTTTCTTCTTGTGCGACTTTTTGCGCGAGTCTCGTTCATGGTTGTTCACTACGATTGCTGGATGGTTGCCACGGAAGGGAACAGAGATACGTTCGTCATCGTCCGAGGTACGCGGCTCTTCTTTCACGTTAGGATGAACACTATTTACAACGACGTTCGAAGTCTCCAGGGAGTTATGTTTTTCTTCGGTGTCAGCGAACCCGAGATCGACGTCGCTCTCCAGGAATCTCTCAGTCTTTACAGCTTTCCGAATTTTGTTGTTGAACGATTCTTCTTCTTCGCTGGTATCTGAGTGAATTCGAGACCTGGAACTCTTCCTGGATAGGGACTTCGCTCTTGCCGAATCTGATTCCGAGGTAGCCTCGTCCTCTGTTAGTGCTTTGCTCGACACCGAATCACCATCCCACGACGTGCTTTGTTTCTTCTCCTCCCGCCTAGCTCGACTTTGCTTCAGCTGCGAGAACTTATCTTTCAATCGCACCTGTCGTTTCTCCTCCTCGAGCTTCTGCATATTCTTCGTCGATCGCGCCTTCACTTTATCGTACATGCTGATGTAAGCGGGCTCATCGTCCACAATGTCGAATATTGAATGTTTCTTCGGCTCATCACTGTCGGTATCAGTAGCAGACGGATGCCTGGCCACTTGAATATCGTGGGTAGACAATGGGCCGTCATCCACATCGCTGTGCAAATTTAAGGAAGACTGTTGCTGGTGATGTTGTTGCACCTCGCGCGAATGATTCGAACTAATCACGGTGGTCTGTTCACTCGGCGAGTTTGAATCATTGCGTTTAGATACATCCATCCGCGAAAGGAATTCCTTATCCGATTCGTGAGATACTCTCGGACTTCGTTCCCTTGATTCCTTTTCGGAACGACTCCTCTTGCTGCGCTGTTTTTCTTTCCCACTCTCGCGATTGTTCTCCCGATTTTCTCTCGTAGATTCCCTGTTCACCTCATTTTGAGTTTGTTCTCTGTTTTCCTGAGCTTGCGTGGAACCACTACTCTCTTTGCTGTCCCGACTCTCTCTGCTGTCGCGACTGGATCTATGAGAATCATTACGATGTTTGCGATCCTCGGATCTTCGATTTTGTCTAGGCCGGTCTTTGCTATCCCTCCTGTGATCGGAAATCTTCATACGTTTCGCTTCGTCCTCGGTCGGTCCGTCTTGTGAGGAACATCGTCGCTTGATGGATACCGGGGCCGGAGAAATTTGATTCTGAGATTGAGAAACGGAGTGATGTACATGATTCTCGGAGGGTTGCCTTCTGCTATCATCACGATCCCTCTTTTCTTTGTCCTTCTCTTCTCTTTCTCTCCTCTTATCGCGTTCTGACTTTTCTTTCTCTCGCCTCTCTTGATCCTCTCGTTCCCTCCGCTTCTCTCTATCATGTTTTTCTCTTTCGAGTCTCTCCCTTTCCTCTTTATCACGTTTCTCCTTCTCAGCCCGTTCCCGATCCTCTTTCTCTTTCTCTTTTCTCCGTTCCCGTTCAAGTCGCTCCTTCTCTTCTCTCTCCCGTTTCCTCTCTCGCTCGATTCGTTCTTTCTCCTCTCGTCGCCTCTCCCGTTCTAATCTGTCGCGCTCTTCTTTCTCTCGCCTCTCCTGCTCTTCTCTTTCCTTTTTAAGACGTTCCTTCTCTTGTTTCTCTCGCTCCAAACGAAGTTCTCGTTCTTTTCTTTCTCGATCCTCACGCTCTCTCCTCTCTCGTTCCTCTCGTTCCCTTCGTTCCTGACGCTCTTTTTCTTCTCTTTCTCGTTTCTCGCGTTCCATTCGTTCTTTTTCTTTTCTTTCTTTCTCCTTAACTTCGTTGTCCTCTCGTTCCTTTCTCTCTCGTTCTCTCTCTTCTCTTTCACGCTTGTCTTTTTCCTGCCGTTCTTTATCAAGCCTCTCTCTTTCTCGTCTTTCCTCGTCCTTCTCTCGCCTTTCTTCTCGCTCCTTTCGCTCTTGTCTGTCGCGATCCTCCTTTTCTCTTCGCTCTTGTCTCTCACGATCATCCTTCTCCCTTCGTTCCTTCTCCTCCCTTTCTTTCCTTTCGTAACGCATCTCCTTGTTCTCTTTAAATTCTCTCGTGTGACTATCACTATCGCCAATGTCGTTCACCATAGAAGAAGAATTGTCCTTCTCCTCGCGGTCTTTACGACTCCTCTCAATGTCCGTGTCCTCCTTCCGCGACGATTTCTTCTGGCAATCCTTGGTCTTACTACCATACTTCGAATCCCTACTGCTATCTTTACTATCTCTGGATTCTCTACACTCTCGATTACCACTACTGCTCATTTCTTTTCTTAACCGAGACCGAGAGCTATCCACGGACGTGGACACTGACGATGAAGAGGAAGAAATCGTAGTACAAGAATTCAAGGATGACGTGGTAGACGATAGCACCGAAGAGGCGGTGGATATTGAAGCCTGGTAAAGACCAACTGACAATGAGGACGGCAACGCCGAAGACATTATAGTACTCGACGTTGTCGTGATCGAAGTTGCATGTGTGGTCGCAGGTGTTGTCAAAGTCGTAGTGGTCGTCGCTGTTGTGACGACTGGCGTCGTCATTGGCGTCGAAAAAGTGTACGACGCCGTAGATGTTATGACCGACGTGGGTGTCGACGAGATCGCAGTGCCGGACGTCAATCCTCGGCTGGTAGAAGCTCCGAAAGGAGCGTGAACACTACTTAGACTACCGTTGCTGCTAAGAATACTACTAGTTGACGCTAAACCGCTACTAATGCCGCTACTGGCTGCCGTTCCACTACCAAGACCGATTGGTAGTGAAACCGGTGGTAATTCGGGGCTTACAGTCTTGATCGACGTGCCGGGTGTGATCGGAGTCGTCGGTGTCGGGTGCATAAAATTGTGTTGCGCCCCCGCCCTCGGATCCGTCGTTTTCAACACGGATGACATGGTCGTCGTGAACGTCAAACTCGACGAAAGAGACGTGCTCATGCCGATTTGACTAGTCACGGTCGAGCTACTCGTCAGTTGTACCGGCGGATGACTAGGAAATGGATACTGCAGGCAAACCTTGCTGGTGCAACCTTTACCCGAGGCGAGGCCGCCCGTGCTGCCGATCATCGAACTGACGCCGATCACGCCAGTGAATTCTCTCGGCTCGTACTTTTCGCTGAAATTCTCCAAACGCTTCGAATCTTCATCGAACACACTCCGCTTGGCAAGAACCGATTTCACGATGTCGCTTGGTTGTACTTCGTGTAAATCCAGGTCGAGAAGCTTGTGACGAAACCTGAACCGTTCGGATGCCGTTGCATCGAGTTTTGCTAATGCATCGCCACCGGCGGCACTCAACGCCCTGGACCCCGACCACTTTTCGTACTTCTCGTCTAAGGACCGTATCCTTTCTTCGAGACTAGGTGATTGAGGGGCCGCTTCGCTGTCGGAACTAGTTGGGCTTGGACTCGGGTGACGCGGAGGCGGTGAGGCCGGCGGTTGCGGTGCTGTTCGTGGACTGGGTGCGGTGGACAAGTTGCTGCACGGTGGACTGGTCACTTTCGCGAGACTCGAATTGCTTGATCGGTTGCTGCTACTAGTGTTGTTGCTGCTGCTGTTGTTGTTGTTGTTGTTGTTGTTTAGCATTTGAGTCGCGAACCTCGGCAAAGGTAACGACAGAGGACCATCGTGACTTCTCTCACGAAACCGCCTCGGTTCGCTAGGCACCAAGTTTTCTGGTCTCTCATCCACCAGCGGTGTACCTGGTCGTGATCCATCGTGATGCTCGTGATGTCTTTAACACAAAAAATTATTCAATACATTAATTTCGGTTTAAATCAAAGCTACTCTCATCTAAATTTCAATTAAACAAAACCTTTCACTCTCGAAACGAAGCTCAACCCCATTCATTATTTTCTACTAAAAAATAATACATAAACTAAAATAATATACCTGGTAGTAACGTCGCGTCGTCGTTTGCAAGGAGCCGGTCCTCTTGCTTCGCAGCTTCCTCTCCTTGTACTGTGATGCACGACCACCTTACTATCGCTGACTCGCCTGATATCCATGCCTTTCCTACTGGAATGCGAGGTTACAAGCAGTGATGCGATCTCAGGCTCGTCGTCTTCGCACAGTATTGTGGACGTCCCATCGAGTTTTGCGCGTTTTTTCGGCGCGAAGCCAACCTCGTCGCCGCTGCTGTGGCACTCTTCAAGCTGTTCCAGTAGATGCACTCTTTCCTTTTGCAGGTGCCTGATGTCTGGTGGCGGCAGCAGCGGCGGAGGAGGTGCCGGTGGATCCACACTGGTCACGACACTTTGCACCGCATGTCTACGCGATGGCGGTGGGCAGTCGTCGTCGTTCAATTTCCCGTCACCCAACACACTGCTCTGATAGTCGTCATGGCTCGCTCCGCTACCCTGACTGAATTCGTCGTAACTGCGAAAGCGTCGCGGTGTAGGGTCGGTGTAGTCACCATCGTAGTAGCTGTCCTGATAGGAGCGCCTGCTGCTGCGCGACATAGCGGTTGGATGGGCCGGACTCGCGCCTGGCGTGCTTCCGCCTCCAGACGCGCGGGAATAACTCGCCGTTCTCGATCTCGGGGGTGTCTCATACCGGGTAAACCGGCTACTCGAATTCGCCACAGTCACCCCGGAGTCGAAACTGCTGCGCTCCCTCCTGGAAAAAATACTTTAAATAAAAAGTATGTACCATATTTCGCGTTTTTTCTGCGGCGTGGCATGCAATGTTTGTGAAACAGACAAACTTTTTTCTTATCTATATTATTCAGACTAATGCATTAAATAATAATTTTTATCACTGAAGATATAAAATTTACGTACGCGACATCGAAAGTGGTCGCCGGCGAGGGCCTTGTGTCCCAAGGTTTCTCACCAACGATACCCTGCCGTTCAAGGTTCTCGTAAAACACTTCCTGACACTCTCTAGAGGCGAAATCGACCTGAAGCCGGCGACCACGGAGAGCGGCACCTCTCATTTCTTTTACGGCGGCTTGCGCGCAGCTAACTTGCTCGAAGAAGACCAAAGCGTGCCCGCGTTCGCGGTCCACGACCACTTGATTTATCGGTCCGAACTGGTGGAACTGCATGTTCAGGTACTTTTCCGACATACAATCTGACACAACATTTCGAACATCGTTACATACATATAATTTTATACCATAATTTAGAAAGACCGCTGATGCGTCTGATAAATACCTCCAATGCCATCGACCCATACGCAGGACGTGGGCATCGATTTTCCAAATCCAAGTTTTATTCGATTTGCACCCAGATGTTCGCCGTCCATCGATCGCATAGCTTTGACAACGCTACCAATGTCGGAATATTGGCAGAAGGCAAAGCATGATACTGCCCCTTGTTTCTTAATATCTATCTCCTGTAACATTAGGAAAGAATGTTTACCGTTTACATGAACGTCGACGGGATACTTTATTTGTTAGATAAAATTTTCACACATAGGTGCATTTTGTCATGAATATGGCAAAAATGTTTTTCGAGATAATCAGTATAACATGGACTTACTATTATCTCGCCGAAGGGCTCGAAATGCTTTCTAAGCTCGGACTGCGTGACGTCCTTTTCAAGGTTGCCGATGAACAGCGTTCGGGTTGCCTTTGGATGATATTCGTCGAGCTCCGCCTCGTACGGTCTGAACTCGTTGTCTTCGACATCGTAGCCTTGGTACGGGGCGACCTCGATCTTGCAGCCGAAGAACAGCTTGTCGTGCGATACCTCAAGCGCTTTTTCCACGTCCTCCGGCTTCTTGAAGCAGACCAGAGCGTACCGATCGCCGGCCGCCCCGACGACCTTTACCCAGGTCACTTTCCCGTGCTTTTTGTACTCATGGAAGAGACCGTCCTTGAGGGATGTGTCGCTGCTACGTGCCGGGAGATTACGCACGCAGATAGCAAGCGGCCTGCGGTCCTCGGTGACAGCGGCATTTCCGGTCCGGTGCGGTGAGCTGCCGGGTGACGTGCTGGCCCCGGAAGTGCTGCCGGCGGAACTACCGCTTCGGCTGCTACTGCTGCTGCCGGAACGGCTACTACCACTCGGCGAGCTACTTCCGCTTCGCGATTTTCTGCGCTGTTTTTTGTGCTGTCGTAGCGCGCCGCTGCTACCGCTGCCGCCACCTCCGCCACCGCCTAGTAGAACAACACGACGAATGTAATCTACACACGTATATCGTTATCGTTACTTTCTCTGTTACTGCTCGTCGGGTAATTTTTAATGTTAGCCATTACATAGCTAATTAGAATCCATGCAGCCCCACCCTTGTCACGATACTACCACCCTCATTCTTGTTGTATTTCATTTCCTCCTCTTAGCACGTTATGCTTCTCTTTTTCATTCCAATTATATGAGCGACTGTCATGCTTCAGATCTCATCGTGATACCATTACGTGCATAGTCGTTCTCGAAACCAAGGTACAACGTGGTACACGAATATACAGTTTTAGGTAGATCACAATTCCCGCACAAGCATATTAAAATCAGAAGAGAAATTTGTTGTCATGACGTTATGATGTTTGAACGTGTTTCACCCGAGAAATATAAATCATGGCAAAGAAAGTTTTAATCAAAACAATTTAAACTCTGTCAAACTCAAATTGCTTCAATCTGATAAATATGCTCGAACGTGATACATTTTCATGATCTATCATTTGTAATGCATTCATCAAGGACCGAAGCATTCAAGAACAGGCTACAAAGACATCTGGATGAACGTCCACGTGTAGACCTTAAAGGTCTATCTACACAGACGTAACAGCACCGTAACGTCGACGTAACATAATGGGGACGTAATGGGAGCGTAGGTCTCCGTAGATCGTAGGACGTAATTTCGGTAACGTAACCAGTGTCGTAGTCTTTAAGACAGGGTATAGGAACAAGCGTGTAGAAGCAGGGAGCTCAGCGGCCCACGTTTGACACCGAATAGGCAGGTGGACTGACTACTGTTTAGGGTCCACTTCTGCTTCGAGGGTTCTTTCGATTTTCTCTATATATTGTCCTAAAGACTACAGCACTGGTTACGTCGCCGAACGTACGTCCTACGACCTACGGAGACCTACGTTCCCATTACGTTACGTCGACGTTACGGTGCTGTTATGTCTGTGCAGACAGACATCCGTCAGCAACGTACTAGATCGCATACGTACGTCCGATAACTACACAGTTCGAAATATAAGACAGCCAGAACGAGGACGACGAAAAAAGAAGCATGCATTGAGAGCATATCGAAACCAGGTAGAGAATTGATGAAAGAATCAGTTAAATAGCACGTGGACTTAATAAATGTAAATAAATCTAAATGCTATAATATAAGCAGTTTAACCAAAAAATAGTCAGGCATGATTCTTTTTGGAAAAGATTAGAAACAAATGATAGATTTACAATCCGCACTCATATGCAGCAAAAATTTTCGCAGATTATATTCGTGTTACACTCCTTATCAAGTCACATACATAAGCAACTATACATTAGTTCGAAATAGGAGCAAATCAGGGCAATTACCTTGCTCGTCCTGGTAAGCGTCGTTGTTGGCAGGTGAGGGTGGAGGCGGCGCATTTCCGTACCTCGAGGTCGTCGACTCGTATGCCGACCACGAGGACGGCGGCAGGCCACCGCGATGACGATCTAGGTGGGGCGGGGGCGGCGGCCCGGAGACGTACGAGCCGGTTCTAGTGTACAGCCGATCCCTCGCCCTGGTCGATGTCACGTGGTAAGAGCTAGCCGGAGGTGGACGGCCTCGGGGAATATAACCGACAGGATCACCGGGGGAAGTGTCTGCCGGATGGCCACCGACAACGACGCTACCACCGCCGCCGCCGCTGACACCACCGACGCTACTCCCGGAAACAACCCCTCGGCCGCTTCGCTCACTGCTGTAGAAACTGCCATGGGAGCCGCGTGACTCGAAACCCTCGCTGACTCTCTCTCGGTCACGGTCCCTGTCTCTCTCGCGCTCCCTCTCCCTCTCCCTGTCCCTCTCTCTCTCCCGGTCTCGATCCCGATCGCGGTCCCGGTCACGGTCCCTCTCCCTCTCCCTCTCTCGGTCCCTCTCTCTGTCGTTAATGCCGCCACTGCCACTGCCACTGCCGCCAACGCTACCGACGCCGCCGCTGCCGACGCCGATTCCGCTACCGACGCCGCTTCCTCCGCTAGCGGATCCGACGCCGCTGCCGCTGCTACCAACGCTGCCGCTGCTGCCGCTGACTCCGCTGACAACGCTACCGCTGACGATCCCGGAGCCACCGACACCAACACTTCCGACTCCGCCAACTCCTCCACTGCTTCCTCCGCTCGATACATGATCCTCCGAACTTCTGAGACAAACAATGATCGTGTTAATTACTATCATGTGCATCTCCATCATCCATCTCCTTAGTTTAAAGTATTATTTATTCTTTAGGAAAGTATGTAAAACAAAGCCGTATGTTCTTACTTCCTAGTAGTAACGTAGTTCTCGAGAATGGAGTAGAGCCGGATACGTGCTATAATCAGTGGCGAGAATTCGCAATTTCTCCTTGCACGAATGCTATGCTAATACAGCTCTTCTTGCATTTTTATCGGTTTGGTTATACCCGGCAGGGTCAAAGTTCGAAAACGTGGCTCGTTATCGCGATGCTACGTCGAAGTCCGTCGCGTATCTTATGTTTGTTCCCCGAATATGTACACACTGCGAGGTGTTCGAGATGTTAACGACGTACACGAGGAGCGCAATCGCTACAAGGAATCGACGTGCAGTCTTTCTCCCGACGCCTCCACGCGTTCATTCCGTTACCACACGGTCACCGGTGCGCTTATCTCCCACCTTCACGAAAAACGTCGACCTGAATCTCTTTAAAGGCTGGATTACGCGTTTCTCGTTTCTCAAACGATCCTGTTTGCCCGCGCGAGTAGAACCAGGACGTTGCCATGCGAGCACTTCTGCACCGGTGAAATTTTCCGTTACCCAGATGGCATCCTTTTTTATTTTTTACCCGTGTTTGTTACCGCGCGTTTCCCTCTTATTTAATTTGGCCCGACCTTGTTCGATCGAACGCGTCTTTTCAAAACATGGCTTCACCTGAATATTTAAGTATATTCAGATTTTATACATACAACTAAATAACATTTTCTGTTCGGAGTGCCAATTGCATATACGTGTTCATTAATTCCGCGCTCGAGATTTTTTCAAAAGGAAAACGCATAAAACAGCGTCCTGAAAAAAGAATTTGCAATCCCCGAGTCATCATCGATCCACGTATCAGGAAAAAAACGATGTAGAGTATCACTCATGCGACGAATGGACAATTCGATGTATCAACGTGGAATCGCACGGTGGAAACACGCGTCTTCGAAAAAGTCCACTCTTGCGGACGATCTGACCGTTGTTCACATCGGATTATCGATTCGACCTCGTTACATCGAAGTACCCGCTCGAAACAGCTCCAGATAATACGAGGAAAAAAGAAGAAGCGAAATCTTGCATCGCCATAAATGCGTATTGAGATTAACGTCCGCACTGGACGTGATAACGCGCCACTGATATCGATCCGAAGGTCTCTTATCGTAGATAATTAGTCTACAAAAATGTGTCTATGTAATTTTCGTTCGTAAAGCTCTTAAGCATCTGGACATGACAGAAGACCAATAGATAGGACTTGTTTTTCTTAAAGACGTATGTATCTAAAACGGTACACGTGTACACAATATACAATTGGAAATGTACAATTGAAACAATGATAACAAATTAGTGTTATAGCGCAATTTATGTTATCTTGGTGTTTAGCCTCAAAAAGTGCAACACTTTGTTGTGACGAACGGCATGTGTAATTTCTCAGAATCTTGCGTTCAAGCTTCTTGTAAAATACTATAATAGTTGGCATGTGCAATACGATAAGATATTTTCATGGTCATATTAATATATTTGCGCGTGTCCGTTGATAACGAATGAGAAACACGCCACTAATTCAGATACGAACTCGCTGCTTTACACTTCGTCACTGGGGATTGATGCGTTATTAATTAATAAACGGTATACACTGATTAATGAAGTATAGTACCAGGAATTAACATAAGTGTTTGGTTGAAGATTTAATTAGGCTAATAGAACATTTTCCGTTCAACGATCACCTCATTAAAACAGATCGATCGAAGAAAAAAATTCAATTCATTGATATAAATGATTCACATGTAAATTGTCAACGTCAAACAATGACATCATCGTTGAAACGATACTACATTCGCGTTTACATATGTATTTATTTAATAAATGATAATTAATGTTCCAATAAAGTGACTAATTAAACACACATTTGATTACCAAGAAAAAGATATACTTTCCATAAAATATGTGATTCGCGCCTCTGATTAGCAATTCTCCTACTTATAATATAATATGTAAAAAATGTCAAACTTAGCATGACATTTGTCACTTCCGCGTGATGCAAGCGTGAGACGTGGCGTGTGTCAAAATTTTAATATTCATTAAAAAGAAATGTGATGTAGCTTTTTCGTTTCCTCTTACGACACAAATTTTTAGCTTACAATTAGACGTATAAAAGTAGCTTATCAGAAACTTTAGTAAGTTTCCAAATGTTTTATCCTAATCTTTTATCACCGATCAACGTGATGATATAAAACATTCTTATCACGACGAATGATTCTCCTTTCATTTTAATCTCTTCAAAAACAACAAGCGGATATTACACTTGAATTGTTATAATAGATATTAGCTTCATTTTACTTCGTAACTATCTCGTCGAAGCAAACAGGCTTGCAAACAGTTTTATTCTTGCAGAACTTCTTTTTGACAAAAGACGAAAGTTATCGTGGTATCCATTGGTTCAATAGTTGTAATAGAGTTACTTAAGATAGAGTCGCGGTTTTTCAGTTACAATACCGAGAATATCGTACAGTTGAAACGGGTCGTAATTCCCCTCCGTCTCGGTTCATAGCCGATCGCGGGCTAATGTGCGCGCGTGTATCCGCGGACGTGGCAACATCACGAGCGACCACGTCCTCACGGTCACCTGAGTTTTCGTGGAATGGAAGCACGTCACTCGCACAGGACGAAGTAAGGGAAACGTCCCTATACCCGAACATATAAGAGTTTGGTACTTCAACTTTTTCATATTTAATATTATAATTTTATTTGAAACTACATGAAACTTCTTTTTATATATTATTATAAGTGCATATGTTATAAACACCAAAATTTAAGAAAAAACATATTGTTTTAAACTATAATTGATTTATAACATCCATTTAAATAGAAAAACTTATTTGTCCCCGTATCAGAATACTCGAAGGAGTCTCATGTCCCAATTGTTAAATTTTTGCGTTCCATTACCGGAACATATTCTTCACATCAGTCAGATGTGGTGTTATTTAAGAAAATTCAATAGTTTAATTAGTAAAACATTTAAATTTTATTTATTTGTAACAGGTTTACAAAAATACATTACATATATTATACATATTTCTGAAACAACAAAATTTCGTCAAATAACTAAATGGAATTATAATTTAAAAATTAAACTTATAACTGAAAAAATGATGCCAACAAATGAAATCACAATTTTCTCAGTTCAGTTATCTTCATATTTTCTTTCTTCGAAGGATCACGAGTGATGCAGAAGTAGTAGTTTGAGCCATCACTATACATAATATATGTACGCAGTGCAAGGTGTTGAATATGCGTACGAAGACCGGAATAACTGCGATACGGCCGTACGTCACGTGGCCTGATAGAACGAGTGCGTGGCACAAGCGTTCCGTCATTTTCGTCAAGTGGCACAAATCATGAATATGGATCACTCTACCTATATACAGTATCAGGAGGAATGGATTCGGCTCCAGACTTGAACAGATGGGATGTCTATATCCAAGCTAAATATACATCAGTCTTTGTTAAAAAAAAAGAACTACTATTTCTTCTTAATGTTTACGAAGAATATGCAATTCATCAAACAACAGGCCTGAAACGGTGGTGCTGTAACACGTTTCTCTGTCTATGAACAATAACCCGATAACGGCCTCCGTTAATCAATTATCGTCTGGTTTATTTCCACAGACGTGATATTTCGTAGCATGCGATTCGTGACGACCGATATAGCGGTGTATAATAGTATTACTCTCTCTGCATCCTCTGAGTAACAGGAATAATACTTGATTCCGAAAAATAAGCAGAAAATACGGCTTCCTCCATATTACGTACCTCCATCTAAACCTCGGTATTGTACATCGTTAATATGGTTACAATTACAGATACTGATAATAATTACTCTCCTTGTAACGCAAAATTGTTGGATCGAGTTTGTCACAGTTAGTGTCGAAAACGAATATCGCAAATATCTTATATTCTGATAATAAGAGACTGCTGCATGAATTTGGGTAATTTATGAAACTCATTATAATGAGCAATCCGAATCCGATCTAAAGATACTTTACGCTAATGCGTGTTCATGATGGCTTGTTTGAAATTCGTTCGAATATCCATATATTCGAAATAGTCTTGGAAACGACAGATTCTTTTACTGAATTATTGAAAATGTTCGATTAGTTCCATGAAAATAGCACGATGGAACTTCGGTAAGACCGGTCCACGTTATAAATGTAAGAACAATTTAGGAAATTAAGCCTGTTATCGATTATAGGTGTTCAATTATAGCCAGTTGCCATCCTCATTTGGCTTTAAAATCGTCTCTCAGAGTGTATTAAAATAATTCTCATTAAAAAGTGTACTACACACATTTGTATGTGTTGATTTATATCAACTAAAATTAAAACAAACTGGGAGATTAAAGGGGACTTATTTCTGCAAGTTCTTAATAAATAAATATAAAAGTTTTTGAAATGCATCACTAGTGAGGAGTACAAACTCAAGGAACAATAACGAGCATTACGAAACGGTCGATGTAGCATCAACCTTGACCACAACATTGCAAGTGGTTAAGATATAGACCATAGAGTACAAACTCGAATATATAAATAAAGTTTTAAATGTGACCATATTCGATCGTATGTACACACGTTAGCAGCGTTAGTGTCCTCTGCTAACTTTAATTTTCTTTGCTTAATTTTATATTCTTTCTTGAAACTTTCAAATACACGAAATACGTAAGTTTCATTATACAATAATAGGTAATGTACTTTGTACATATAGTTTATATTTTACTATTTCGTACTTTGGTGCATTGCTGTACTGCGCCGTGCGTTAATGTATTATGCAGTACATTACATAAAAACGTGTCTGCACGAAAGATGATTGAACATACTGATAAATGGATGAATGTAACGACGCATAAATCCAACAATGGTTCCGAGCCGTGAAATGAGGTGATGTGGCTCAAAATTAGAATGAACAGAGAATAACGAATATGCGCGGTGTACACGAATTTTGTTAGGTGGAACAAATCATAGAACAGCCGTTCATCCGCTACATGTCAATGTCGTTTCACCTAGTTTCCGTGATGTGCGATTTAATTAATTATCGCAACATGACTCACCGCAAAAATCGACTTTTATACGCATCACTTTGACAGTTGAAATATTCAACTCGACCTCGAATTTCTTGCGATTCACACAGAAAAATTCAAACGCAAAAAACTGTTATCGTTGCACATGGTATTGTTCCAATGTGGATTCTAATAATAATGATACGATGTTGCGTGTTATGTGAGAAATGAAACTTACCCGTGTGAGGGAAACCTATGCTGTAGGTGTTGTGGTTCGTAGTATTGTGTGGTAAGGGCTCGCTCGTCCAAGGTGTGCTCGGTCGCGTGGGCCTTCGCTGCGGACTTGATATCCATGAACGCCACCGTCGCGGATGCACCCCCGGTGCTGCCTGAGGAACCGCTGCCCCCGCCACTGCCGCCGCTGCCAGAATTGGTACCGGAACCACCCTCGTTCCCTTCGCCGAGGGAACCACCGGAACCTCCGTCCACGGGGCACTCTTCGCCCCGTGGCAGCAGCTTGACGCTCTGCACGCGTCCATACCTGCAACAATTTAATTATAACGTTCAAAAGTTGTGGAAAAATCTGTGTGAGACTTTGCTTAATAAGTTCTAGTTGCGACGCTTTCATACAGTTATGTATGTCAGTATATAACTTATTACTACGTACGTAAATAGTAACAGCTTGGTAATACGAATTTTTCCCAAGTTCAAACGAGACGTTAAATATAATACGTAATATGTTAAAATTTCCGTGTCTTATAACAGTTGAGGATGCTAAAGAAAAGTTGTTAAGGTCAACTATGCGCAAAAGGGTTTTTAATACTAAACGCAGACCTTATGTATGTCAATAATACAAGTTTCTACAAATGTTGCTACGTTTTCACAATATGAAAGCAACGGAGGAGTTTCTTTTTATGACTTTTTAGTTTAGACCTCCTTAGTTATCTTAAAGAGAAAATATGAGAATACATAATCCGTTCCCTCCAGAAGGAACCACTACCACCGCCGCCGACACAGGAAATTAAATCGTGAAAAGAGAAAGAAATATCTATAACGACGAAATCGAAACTACGATCGAGGTCCTTCCTTACTGCATTTCGATCTGTAAGTTTTTATGCATACATTCTATCGAATGTTAAAACTTAGGCAACTTAATTTATAAGATATCTAACCAATGCGTGAACAGCTTAAAATAGGGTATACGAATTTTCTTAGGTAAGGAGAACTCATGATATAGTATTCATCACAGTTTATTCTATAATTTACATTGACCAATGCACAAATAGTACGCAGGTTTTACGGGGTCAAATTACATTTCTTGGTAAGATCAGTAGGGATGCAACATATTTATTTCGAAGAATGGCACATGGTGTGCGACTTGTATTTTGTCTAAATGTTCGAATCGGTAGACTTAAAGAAGTCAGGTATTGTTTTCACCCCATAAGGAGAGAACAGATATTGAATTTCGGTGGAATTAAAGAAAACAAAGAAGCGGAGTTGTTTCTGGCATACCCTATGTATGTACAGGGAAGCCTCGCCTGTAGTCGTAGTGGATACGATTTGACTATATTGTGCAGGCGCGGTAGGGCAAGCTGGCTGCAGAGTGGGAAGCCAGGTTCTTCATTGGTCGGTTGGGAGAAAAATATTACGCGCAAGCGCAAAGACTCCGACGGTTTCAGAGTATCTCGGGGAGTTGTTCGTTTAATCTCGCGTGAGTCGCACGTATTTCCTTGTGCGTTCTTCCGAAAGAAGCATCTGTTTTTTTTCTCCCGGACCATACACGTAGCAATTAATATCTGTATCAATGGAAAATGCATATCTCAATAATCCGTTGTTCGTTCTTCACGCTCGTAGGCGTCAATAACGCGCGAAAGACAAATGCGTGGCGCACATATTGGATACTGTAGTTCGTTTGGATTAACAGCGCAGAAATACTTGCTAGATTGTTGAAAAATTGAGGAACGGTGGACGTATTTTCTAAGACCTATAATTTATCGCGGTAATTTGAACAATTTTTCTGGAAATTGTGACACATATGTCGAGTCGTTTTGAATGGGGCGTGGTCAGTCGACGCTCTCCGCCATATGCGTGTGATTCGATGGCGAGGAAAAAGGGCACGCGAACTTCCTGCGTTGTTACGGATTTACGCCTTTCTCATTGTTTGCCTTTTTTGAAAATTTTGACCGATGTGCAGTTGCAGATTGCATCGTGTGTAACAAGAAACATCACTGCATTTCAAGATTCGTTTAAAAAACAGTCTCCGATACGACGAAATTCGTTTTTCGGATTTATTTCGATTTCCATACAAGAATCAGAAGAGACGGAGGGAAAACGACAGTTGTAATGTAGAGCAACGAACGCATCGCTTGGAAGATTGTTCTTACGAAATGGCAGCCAGAGCGGCGGTGTGCCCGTTCTCGAACAATTCTTGCACCGAATCGTTCCTATTCAATATTTCGCGTGACTACTTGACATAAATTAATAGCGAATAATTAGTACGGGTTATTCTTGTGGGTACATTTGCGTTAGCAAATTAATTTTAATGTGCAATGTGTGGAGTGTGCTATCTCCAAATATCGTTTCTTCTACACGAAGCATATTGAATAATCAAAGTCGACGATGGATAATGTTGGAAGTAAAGTGGACGGGAAGAAAGTGAATACGAATGAACGAGAGGGATAGAGGATAAAATCGATACATTAATTTGCAATATCATTACCGGGCGTTATTCTGCGTGACATTTCACGAAAGAGAACCGATCACTGTCTGTGCGTCGTCGTCGTGGCTGCAAGACATCCTCCTCATCTACCCCCATCATTTTCCTCCCCTCTTCAATTTCTTCTCCTATACACATTCTAGTGTGTGAAACGGACGTGCGCGCGCGCGCGCATGAGCACTGAAAAGCCTCTTACTCGCTCCCTCGCGCGTGCACGAACCCGCAATCGAACGACGTCCTTTTCTCTGACACACATGAGTGAAAGCGGGTGAGAGAGGAGCGACGAGAGGAGAAGAAATTAGAAGGCCAGGGAGGTGATGGAAGCAGGGAAGAGAGAGAGAGAGAGAGAGAGAGGGAAAAAGAGACAGAGAAGCAAGTGCCGCTGGCTGGCGAGCGAGCCAGCAAACCGTACCCATATTCCCCTCCATAGTCCCCACTGTATGCCTGTCGAGGAATTTTACTTCGGCAGACTCGCTCCCAGACTCGATTCCTTCGTTTCTTCTCTATACATCGCTCAACGACGAAGTATGGCTAGAGTTCTATGTGGAAACATTAGTATGACTTTCCATAAATTTCAAGTCTCTAGGTCAGAGTCGTAATTTTTCCGCGACGAGAACGGGGAAAAGAAAAGAAACGTTGCACGCACCAGCTTGCATAGAAAGCTGCTGCGTTATAAAATCCAGCGGCCATTGTCGACCTTCGTTCCTCTACTTATCCATTATCAATGCGTCAAGTAACACACGACTCTGCAGAACAGCGGATAAACTGGCCGTATTTGTAGCGCTTAGAAGTATTTCGAACAGATCAATTGATGTACACGTATTCATCGAACCCAAGGAAAAGAAGTGTTGCAACTTCATGGAATATCGAGTGTGTGATGTTCTACGATTAAGGGAGTTTCAATCTCTGAGTGATTCTCTTTGAAAATTTCCTCATCGTTCCATCAATTGTTGTCCGATAAGACGATGAAAATTATGCTTTTTAATATGAGGCCATAGTGAAACTGTACGTTATCGACGTTGCTTCATCGTCGATGAGTACGTGATACGAATAATATTCTCAATCGCGGACGCAAAAGTGCTTTACCATGTGTTTGATTGGAAACGAGTATCCTTTGAGAAACTGAATGTCCCAATAGCGTAGCGACATCCACTCGGACGATCGTTTGTCTTTCTACGTTTGAAATGGGAGACGTACAGGAAATCAATACATCGGCCCACGGTTCCTAAGCTCTCTCGGTGTGTGTACGCACATAAGTATGTATGAGCGTGAAAGAGAAGGGAAAGAGTTCTCCCGGCTAAGTCAATTAATGCGTCACGCTATATATTTTATTCGTTATTCGGCGCGTTGGTGAAAAATAATAAAGAGCTAGGTGATTAGTAATTTTCTTCCGGAAATTCTGTATCAAAGCTTGTCGATCAAAGTTTCATCGCTAAGAACGTGGCACGAACGTTCTGTGTTACGTAAACGTTATCTTTAAATTTGTTCGATTCATGCTATAGTACGTTCCACGCATGTATAACTTACTTTACCTGTAAATAATAGATGCGTACAGCATCGCCCTAGCACAGGAAATACGTTTTGGGAAAAGGTCGATCTACGGATACGAATTCTTTATATTTTGTCAGATCTTGGAATGCCAAGCTCCATGAGTGTGTCGATCTAACAATACACAGAGGTACCTACTACGATTCTGCGAAGAACGGTACGAATAAAAAGGAATACAATGCAGAGCGACCACTGCAGGATAACAACAAAGAAAGAAGGCTTTTGTTCCTCTACTTTTTCTCATTCCCTCGTTGCCCCTGATTCTGCTTTGGTTCTCTCGTTGAATAAAAAAAGCTGCCCGCTGTACAACATTATATTTTACCGTTAACAATTTTTCTAATATCTCGACATTTACTAGAAATCAGTTGCAAATATTAAATTAATTATATACTAAACTGTTTCGATAAGAAATGCTAAATATAATAGGGAAATTCGCAAATTAGTCATTTTAAATAGCTATTTTATCGGAGTGCAATTACCTATGCCTAATGCCTACACAGCTAGCCAGGCCGATTACAGTGTTATATGAACCTACTAAATATGCTAATAGTTCAGGTGTTCAGGAAGACCGGAGAACGGAACAACGTGGGCCATTATTGAAAACAGCCCACGGAGCCTGATTTCTTTGCATTTGCAAGTCTTTCGTGTGTACGAGTATCAAAACAAGGCACTCTTATCCTATCAACTCTCGCAGATATTGCGTCCACGATCTTGTATTATAGAGGCCGCGTATACGTATAGAAGGCATACGAAAAGTCTCTTCCAACAGTATCATTCTAGGCAGACGACACTGACATAAGCCGCAACGTCGCAGGCAGAGGCAGGCGTTGGGACGCCTCAACGAGGCCGGCGAGGACGTGGCAACAGCGCTATGACTCAGCTCTCCTCGTTCCAACAACCGCTTCCCTCGCCTCCTAGCCCCTCTTCAGCTGTCTCCGCGCAGCTGACGCCCTTCCCCTCCCGTCGAGATCACCCCACCAGCCTAGTCATTCGATTCTATCCTTCTTCGTGTCGTGTCCGAGGCTCCAGGTTGCCCTCCGTCCCGCTTGCACCCGCTTCGTTCCGCCCTCCCCTATATCGGCTTACCGCTCCTTCCTACTCCGTCGACCCAGACTCTCTCGAGGTACCGACAACTCGTTTCGTTCCCCTCTCCAGAGAAGCGTGCGCAGGCCGTATTCCTACACGCCGCTAGCCAGACGAGCGTGCAAAGTCCCCTTTGGAAGAAAAACACCTCTCTCCGGCCCCCGCGCAACGCTCTTTTCTACTTTTTCTCTCGC